GGAACGATGCCGTGCATCAATCAACTTGAAAGATGAGGCTGAAAAGCAGGATGATCGTGTCTTTCATCTCCTCCTTAGCACTGCATTGCTCAAGAACCCGGTGCAATCCTTCCCGGTGTCTATACCAAAGAACTGTGAGGGCAATTCTTTACTTTGCGTTGACCTCATCTTCCACACACACAAGATTCATCTCGTCCTACATAGCTGTCCATTTCCCATGCACTCGCCAGCGAGTTGTGTAATTGCTTGGCTCATTAGCTGCTCGCCATCGCTGCGACCCAAGGAACCCCCACCACCTGAAGCCAATGAATGGACCACATGTTGAAAATTACCTACCTAGCGAGGTAGTGTAGAAACAAACCCCCTCGAGCCCCTCCAGTCTCCAGGATAAGAACAAACAGACCCCGAAGCATTTTCTTCCTCGGGCATGGGCCAGCCGTGCAAAACATGGATCATCATAGAAAAGAGAGATCACTTGCTCGCACGATCCGACTGCCGATCGCACGCTGCCAGCCGCCTCTGTCAGCACCTTCTTTTGCTTAGCCTATCATGTCTAATTCAGCGTTGTAACATCACCATGCAACACTCCCTCCCATGCATGGGAGCCCTCCCTCCCCATGTAACTACCTAACTAACTCTCTCTTGTTGGTCTCTCTCTTCTGCCGCGCCAACAACCGGCCGGGCAAGTCCAAGTCAGAAAGAAAATGCTACCTACCTTACCTTTACTGTACTGCGGAGGCCGCAAATTATTCGTTACCACTCAGTAATAAATTCTTGATATGAGTGGGAAAAGATAGGTAGGTATCTAGGGAAAAATCTCGTATGCGCTTCGTAAGCTTCATACATAGCCCCCCCCCCCCCCCCATCTTGCTGCAATGCTACAGTACCGTTTTGGTCTGCCTGCAAACTGAAAGCCGACAAGATCATCATTGTCGTCGTCAGAACGTTCAGGTCGTCAAGTGTGGCTGTGTTCAGCATGGCAGGGCAGGGCAGGGCAGGGGAGGGCGGCTCTCGCCGTCGTCAGGCCAAGGCAGCAAAAAGCCGAGATATAGTGTGAAGTGGTAGGTAGGTAGGTAGGCAGGCAGGGTGGCAATCGGACCGGTAGTGTAGTGTAGTGGTATCAGACCTTAATAGGCTGTGAATGAGCTGGTTGGTGGTTGGGTGGTGATGATGATGATGGTGCTTCACACAAAGTGCCTAACAAGGCGGCTGCCCGGCCGTGATGCAGATGTTAGGTACCGGCGGGATAACATACCTACCTACATACCTGGGTATGTGGATGGATGTAGGAGACGGTTGCATGGTGGTTAGTTGGTGCAAATAGTTGGTGTTACAAAACCATGTCTTGAGTGCCTGCTTAGGTTGGAACTGGGAAATTGTATGGTCCGTTAGCCTCTCAACACCCCAGCGCCATCCATCATTCTATACTACAGTACCCCTGACTGGCGACGACTCCCCCAAAAATCAGCCCAGTTGCAGTTCATGTTGCTCACAAGCAGCGAACATGGAAAATCCCCTCGTGTCGTGCACGTGGATGGACCCCCGAATGATTCGTTCGTTAGCTCTTCTTTTGCGCTTTAGTGTAGAAAAGGAGGTTGAAAGAGACCGGAGAAACGCCATGTTTCTTTTCTTCTTTCTGCTGACTCCCGAGCCTACACGTGTACACTATGGATAGAGCCGCAAGTACCAGCTCCACTTGGGTTGGCCCCTCGATCGGGAGTTCCTTCCGCGGGTAGGTCGTGAAGCCGGGGGTTGGGGGGGGGTTAAGGTCCCAACGGTTATTTCACTTTAGTTGCATCGAGATGGATTCATGGAACAGCCGGGCAGCCCACGAGGGAGCCATGCCATCCATCTTGCCATCTTCTCCCACACCATCCGTCGGCTTCGTCTCATCTCATCTTCCTGATTCCTGTTTCACCGGTCTCTAGTGCCCCCTTCCTTCTTTTCCCTCCAGCGGTACGGACGCATCGGCAATCCCATATCTGCCTTGGCATCGTGAGAGAACAGGGGAAGCTGTGAGGAAGCTGAAGAAAGTTTAATAATGCCGTAAACCGAGATACTCGCAAGTTCGTCACTTGTTGGGTAAAGTGATCACAGAACATCAATTTCGTCTTCCTCGGCCCAAATAGCACCAGTATCTGTATAGCTTCAACATCCTGCCCGATTTGTGATGATGATGCCGATGACAATGGACGAGGGACTGAGGTGAAACACCGGACCAGTCCACTCTGATGAAGATCGAGGTTTCAAGCGTAGGCAAGCCCGTGATAGGGGAACAATGGGTGGAAATGTCTTTCAGGGACCTACCAACTCACTTTAACAAAAGCCAAGTGCTAAATGTTCTTCCGTAGGAGGAGATGGTGTCGTAAGTTTTTCTACGCACTGCCTTGTTGTCCCTAAAAGTAGTGTGTCGTCTGGACAGCTTCCTTTCCATTAAAGTCGAAATTCGTTGCTTCTTCTACATGTATATTTCGGTTGGCAGGGGGTGTAACGGTGAAAATTACAAACGAAGTCGCTGTAAGTTCTTTTCTTGTAACGACGGTACATAAGCGATCCGTTTGGTATCGTAAAAATACCCACGAAACGTTCCACGCAGCATTGATACGGTACAAACTGCGTGTTTTTCGGCCGACCCTCGGATGCCCGTTGAAATCCACGCAGACCACGGTACCTCGCGATTGGACTGTCGCAAGCACCGAATCCACATTGGGGCTATTGCTTTCTTTCCATTGGCTGGCCTTATACCTGCCTCCCTCGTAGGGCTGGTTCACATGAAGGTTCTGTTCCGTTGTCTGCCCTGGTGTTGGCGGTGAGCGGTTGTGGAGTTTTTTTTTTTTTTTCATTTGGAGGAACCCCATGCTCCCATAAATCAGTTCAGGTTATCTTGCGTCGACGCTGCATCACGCTGTACGCTACAATTTGGATGAATGTCGGTACTACGAACATGGTGAAATTTTCAGCGGTGTGTATTACGCGTAAAGTACCTACAGTACTACTTGGACGGTGCGGAAGTGCTCCGACAGACCCCCTTACTCAGCACCACCACCCAAACCCGGGACAAGGCATCGTGGTCCATGTTGTTACATCGATGCTTTGGACCAGGCGCTAGTTCAAGATGGCTACATATCTGCTCCACCGATTGTCACGACGACGACGCCGGCGGTGATGAAGAACAACAACTTAACACACCGATTCCGGACCCGGGTTTGATGCCAAGGTTGCAAGCGTGAACATGGGCATATTGGCAGTAGTCCAGTCATGACTTTGAAGTCAAGTACCAGAGAGGGGAAGAGGACTTGGCAGTAAACATGAACTAATACCACCGTATTGGCATCCATCGCGGTCCAGGAAACAAAACGGTGCGCAGACCAGAAAGATTCCTTCCAAAGTAAGTATCTCTGAGGAAAGGCCGGGATGGTTAGCATCCAGATCGTTTTGGTTGACCAGACTGGATAGACTGGAGACTGGATAAAAGCATGGATGGGTAAGGGCAAGAAACATGATACCCGATATCCGATGCAAAACTTGTGTCAGCGCCGTCATCATTGTCATTGTTGGGTCAGTCAGCCTTACAAGGAAAGGACAGAACTTTCCATCGGCAGCCAAGCGGTTGATCCTGCAAGCGAAGGTCAATAACCCTTCTTCTATCGTCTATTGATCAGATAAGTATCTTCCAGTCTTCACCGCATCCGCGTATTTGTTGAAGGCAGCAACTTTGTGACTAGTTCTAGTTCTAGGTATCCATCCTCTTTCTCTCTAGTCTACACTACTATGTCTATGCCCGGGTTACATGGGCAACCAACACAGAAACGTCAGTCTATAAAACGGATGAGATAGAGACAATAAATGACAAAATAGAGGGAAAGAAGCAGCAATCGGCGCGAAACGTCAACCAAACGACGACAACGGACGGTAAACGATCTCCATACCTTCTTCAGATTTTGATTCCCACGACGATAGATAGCAAAAATTAGGGACTGCACCACATACACTACTAACTTACTTACCTACCTTCCCCTTTCTGCCCTTCCCCTTTCCCTTCCCCGCAATCCAGATCGACGCTCGCTTAACACACTGCATGACCATGCATGAAGATAATGTAAGACCAGGAAGAAAAAAAAAATTCAATAAAAAAAAAAATTTATTCCTTCGTATTGATCCCTTTCGCTCTAGGTAGTCTACATACCTCTACCTACCTACCTACTCATCCGAGATCGTAAACACCCCCAACCACCCCTTATAGAAGAACGATATGGACGCCCATATGTATGTACATAGACACACACACGTCTTGATAGGGATAGGTGTAGAAAGATTGACACAAGTAACCATCATCCATCTACAATCTGGCTGACGGACGGGGGTAAGTAAATCAGAATGTACATAGACTAGATAGATGACTGTTCGGGCCAAGGCAGCAAGCATCCAATGTAAGTAGAGGTATGTAGGCTTCTATAGTAGAGGCAATGCGACATTCGGAACGAAGAAAGAAAGAAAGAAAGAAAGAAAGAAAGCGGAATGTTCCATGTCGGCGGCCTCCGCAGCTCAGGCAAAAGGAGAGAGGGTTGGTTAGGAGAACCCAGGGGGGATGGCGTGATACATACTAATATGGTTTGTTAAACGGTGCTATCTATGTAGGCGGGTGTCTACGTAGAGGTATACAGTACTCAGAGGTACTACCTTTCGGAGAAATAACGGTGACGTCAAAGTAGAGGTAGGTAGGTAGTATTGTAAACGGTTGTAAGACTCGCTTATCAAGATAGGTAGGTACATACCTACTGACTGCATCGGCGAACGGGTTGCCAGATTGGGGGAGATGTTGCGATGTCACTTTCTTCTGTTTTTTTTTTTTTTTGTTTTTTTTTTGGTCTCATTCTTTTTCTAACGAGATTTGTCTGGATGAGACCGATTCACGCGCGGAAGTTCGACAAGCCAATCATTTGCTTGTTGAAGTCATGTATGTTTTGGGATTCTGAAAAAATACCAGACTTTCTGTTTCCAAGGAAAGGCCGATTTGAAAGCATTTGAAATGGGATGAATTCTATATTGGCCTCGTAATGGTATATCATTTTGATGGACCTTCCCAGGAAGAATGACTGAAAACGCTCGACACTTCAAGGCGATTATTCTTCACCCTCCAGTCCCTCACCCATATCCTCATCGTCATCCTCATCACCCTCTCCTTCGCCATCCTCCTCCTCCTCCTCGGAACTCGACCCTGAGCCTTCACTCTCCCCTTCACTACCCGGATCATAATCCTCCTCCTCCTCATCTTCCTCATCCTGTAACCTCTGCTCCTCTTCCTTCTGCGCCCTCTCCAGCTCCGTCAAGCCATCATCAGCTTCACCGCCCTCACCACCCTCGCCTTCTTCGCCATTGGCCGCAGCCTTCTTCGCATTCTCCGCCAGCTGCTTCTTCGCCTTCCTCTGTTCCGCCATGCTGCGATCCGCCAGCCCATGTCTCCTCACATAACTCTGATCAATCCCTGCATAATCCTCCTGGTCCAGCATGCTGAACTCAATCTCCTGCCCTCCCTCTTCACTCCCTTCTCCTCCTTCCAGCTCCACTACTATGTTGAACGTCCTTTGCAACACGCTCGTATAACTAATCGCCACAATCTTGTCCAGCGGCAAGAAGAGCAACGGTTTCTTGAACCCCCACAGGATGCCCGTCGGCAAAAAGAACAGAAACCCGTCCTTGCTGCCGCGGAACGCCTTGACGTGCACCGCCTTCTCCTGTGGGCAGTACGCCTGGCGCGCCACCGAGTGGAACACCTTGGGATCGGACGACACGAGCTCGCACGCGTGGTTGCCCGCCGCGTGCAAAGACGTTGTCAGAGCCCAGTGGAAGAGTGTCGCGTAGCTGTCGGAGACGGGGGCGGCGGCGCCGGCGGACGGACCAGTGATGGTGCCTGACTTGGGCGCAGTGGAGGGGATGGTAAACACGAGTGGCTCGAGCGGCGCAGTGGTTTGTTGTTGGGTCTGCTGGTCGGCGGATTGTTGGGACTTGGTGGTCGGTAGGTAGCTGTTGCGCGGGAGGAGCACGTAGTTGTGTTGGACTTGGGATTTGTCGGGTACAGGGAGGTAGAAGGCGTGTTCTGTTTTGTTTATCAATATCTGTTAGCAAATGGTCCATTTTTTTTCTGTGTTGAAATGAATCGAAATACGAACCAATGTCTTTCCATGGGTACACAATGCCTTGTACAGGCACCGGAGAGCCTGAAGCGCGAGCATAGAGAAAGTTCTTGGTAAAGCACAAGTCGTACTTCTTGCGCTGGGGCACAGAGACGGAAATGTCCTTGATCTCTAGGAGTACTGGCTCGGCGGCGGCGGCGTCTGCACCGAGCACTGCTGCTTGTGAGCCCGCAATCGGGTGAGCTGCGCCATTGGGACCGCTTGTTTGTGCTTCGACACGCCTCCTCTTGGTGGCTGGTTCTTCGGATGTGTTGTCCGCTATCCTCTCGTACACAAAAGATGCGATGTTGTTGAAAAGATCGATGCGCGCGGGAGAGTCTACATCAGACGAGGTGCCATCCAAATTAGCCAACAGGTACAGACAAAGCTATTGTAAGACTGGTCGCGGACTGCCAGCTATAGGTTAAAATTGATCGTAAGAAAAAGAAACACACCAGCAGCTTCTTGGATGCCCTTCAAAATGTCGGGTCGGCTTTGGAACACGAGTCCCAGCAGCTGGGAATCGAGCTTGGCTGCCATGGCAGCGGTTATGGAAGTAGCCTGATTGTGGAAACAGCCAATTGAGGGTGTCGTAGAAAGAAAAGAAATGGCTCGCGCGACGTTCAATGACTTGACTATGCGAAGCTCTACAGAACTGGCAATGTAATGGCGATGTCTGCGTGAAAGGTGTATTGTTTTCCGTGTTCTGGGTTTGAATTGGCGTTCGTTACGTCAGCTTTGGACGCGTAAATGACTTGCTCTATTCCCTGTATGTATGCAGGCGAGTGTTACTTCGGCTGCTATAAGGGTTAGGGTACAGGCTTCATCACCATATGAACGATGTCTGAATCTTCCCCGGATCTCAACCGGACAGATTTGGGAGCAATCAGGGGGGTTTGCAAAGCCAAAGTAAGTCATGGTTTTGAATTATATAAACAAATCTCTATGTCCAACACTATAGCGCATCATAAATCCCATGCTACAAGTTGCCGCTATGTCAAGATCCTTTTACACCCATAACGCTTCATCATGTCCCAGTTCATAGCTATTGTACACCGTAAAATCGCAGCATTTTGTCCGGCTGCGTGCAAAACTCCATTAGATTCCCCAGACACAAAAAAAACACGGACTGTCCAGACTCATCATCTAGGCAATCATGGACTTGAGAACCTGGATTTGCTCCTGGACGCAAGCCTTGCTGGTGCCACCCTTGGCAGAGCGCATCTCAACGCTCTTCTCATAGTCGAACACCTTGGAGATATCCTCCTCGAAGCGGGCATCGATACCCTTGAGCTGCTCATATGAAAGCTTGTCCATGGGAATACCGGTCTGCTCCGAGAGGGCAACGCAGCGGCCAGAGATGTGGTGAGTCTCGCGGAAAGGAACACCCTTGCGGACCAAGTAGTCAGCAAGGTCGGTGGCGAGCATGAAGGGGTCAAGGGACTCCTTCATCTTCTCGGGCTGGATGCTGAGGGTAGCCAGGACACCGTTGGCAATCTGGATGCTGTCAGAAACCGTCTTGACGTGGTCGAGCATGGGCTCCCAGCTCTCCTGGAGATCCTTGTTGTAAGTGCTGGGAATGCCCTTCTGGGTCATCATGAAGCCAGCCATGTGGCCGAAAGCCCTTCCGGCCTTACCCCTGAGCAGCTCGAGACTGTCGGGGTTCTTCTTCTGGGGCATGAGTGAGCTGCCGGTGGAGTAGGCATCCGCCAGCCTGACGAAGCCGAATTCGCTAGTAGAGTAGATGATGAGATCCTCGGACCAGCGAGAAATGTGCTGCATCAACATGGAGCCCCACTGGAGGGTTTCGGCAACAAAGTCACGGTCGGCGACAGCGCCCATGGAGTTCCAAAGGAGGCCATCGAAGCCAAGCTCCTTGGACATCATCTCACGATCAATGCCGAAGGGGTTACCGGCGAGCGCACCGCAACCAAGAGCACTGCGGTTGACGCGCTTGATAACCTCGCGCAGACGCTCGAGGTCGCTAGCAAAAGCAAAGCCGTAGGAGAGCATCCAGTGACTCCAGCGGACGGGCTGAGCGCGCTGCAAGTGGGTGTATCCGGGCATGATGACATCGATCTCCTGCTCGGCGCGGGCAGCAGTGACATTCAGGAAGTCCTGAAGGTGCTTCTCGATCTTGCGAAGCTCGTCGCGGAGCCACATGCGCATATCGGTAGCAACCTGCTCGTTACGAGAGCGGCCGGTGTGAAGCTTGCCAGCAACATCCTTTCCGATGATCTCGCCGAGACGACGCTCATTGGCAGTGTGGATATCCTCGTCGACACCGGGGACAATCTTGAAGGTACCGTCCTCCCACTCCTTCTTGACAGCCAGGAGACCCTGCTCTAGCTTGTTGAACTCGTCCTGGGTGATGATGCCGGCCTTGGCGTTGGCGCGCGCAAAGGCAATGCTGCCGGTGATGTCCTGGGCGAAGAGGGCACGGTCGAAGTGGATGGACTCGTTGTACTGGACCATGAGGGGGTCGAGGCCGCCTGCGAGCGTTTATATTAGCTTATGAACTCCCCCATTGTGTTATGAAGACTGCTATACAGCATCCTGGAAGATAAAGAGAGAAGAGAAGAGAGCGCTCAAAGCATACCGGTAAAGCGACCTCCCCAGAGCATGTTCTCGGTGGGCTTGGCCTGTCCACTCATGATTGCGTGACTTTGGACCGAATTGTGGCTGTCAATTGGGATGAGGTCGGTGGGTATGAGCTTGCCGTCGCTTGAAGTTCGAGCTGCGGAACGGTATGCAATTGAAAAAGGAGATGTGATTTAGATAGATGCAGAAGAAGAAGACTGGAGAGAAAATGCAGAGCAACAAACACAACAAGAAATAAATAAACAAATAAAAAATTTAGTCAACAGCGGACGCCAGGTACGTCGGGTTTGTACCCGCCGAACATCGCTGGATGACTCAATTGCGTCGGCACTCCAAGGTGGAGGGGAGCTCTTTTACTGGACCGGCACCTTCCGACAGCGATAACGCTCACTGAAGCTCCCAGTATCAGCCCTACGGCGGGAGGCACAGGGACCACGGCAACGGCTTAGCGCAATTGAAAACTGATAAGCTTCCCCGCGATGGAGCGCGAGAGCTGTGGACGACTCCACTCAGGTACAGTCACAGTGGAGGCGCGGGGATTGGAAGCTCCATCTTATGACTCCGATGAATATGTAACCCTAACCCCCGATTAGCTCAGTCTGGGAATGTTGGCAAGTGACGACGGCTCGGCTTGAGATGATTCCTTGGCTGGCAGCTGAACCCCGCGTCCCTGTCAGCCGTCCATGTCAACTGCCTCCCAAGTCCATCCAACGAAAGAGACAACGAACCGCCCTCATCATTATCTGTCGATAGCAAAGCGAGCATGTCGAGCATGTCATTTCCAAACCTTTATACACACCGCAAGGTGGCCGAGACAAAGGCAAAGTCATGCGACATCTGCTACCGGCTCAGCACCAGCGTCCTCATCACCGCAGACAACAAGGATTTCTTTTACATCTGCCCAAGCCATCTTAAGGAGCCGTCGTTCTGCACCCCAAAAATTGACACCGAAGCTATTGAGGCCCGGAAGAAGAAGGAGCTAGAAGAAGAGATTGAGAGAGTGAAGAAGGAGTACGAGGAGAAAAAGAAGAAGAAGGAAGAGGAGAAGGGGAAGGAAGCGGACAAGGAGAAGGAAAAGGATAAGAAAGACGATGACAAGAGCAAAGATAAAGATGAGAAGAAGGATGAGAAAGACCAGGAAAATTCCAAGGCCTCTAGGGTTTGTGCACCATACAGCCTCCTATCGTCAGCCAATGTGTTTTCACCGTCTCATACTTACCGGGTGACATGAACGCAGAGCACAAGTAGAGAAGGGACCAAATCGCCCCCCGTGGAAGAAGAGCCAAGGATATTTGAACTCAAGCCGTTCGTTGTCTTCTCCCTCGCCCGAAATTGCTCAGCACATCTCACTAATCCGCTCATCACAGTACATTCTACCAACAACGCCTGTGGAAGAAGAGGCAGGCTGAAATTGCAAAGCGCAACCGTGAAAGACTGCAAGATCCAACCTTCTTTCCCTCGGTTCCCAAGAATCTTCCATGATTGCGTCGTCTCACGCTACCAGATATACTTTAGGTATCTTGCCTCTGAATAACTCAATTGACGATCATCCTGTTGACATTGGCTGCTCAGACGGACAGACATCCTTTGTTGATACCCTTTAGCCTTTGTCATTGAATTACTCTCTAGTTGAAGCGTCAATAAAGCTGCATAAACACCAGACTTACGAACCTGGGTGTCGCAACACAATGAACCATACAGAGAGATTACAATACGTTACAACGAGCCGAAACGGTCCGTTTTGAGGACGATGAGCAACAAAGTCCATCTACATCTTGCACCGCCATTCAACGCACAGTGAAATCACAGTTCACCACGCCCATTCTATTACACCAAACTGTCTCTCAAGGGTGACCTCGCTAACGCTAGGAGGATTCAGCCCTGCGATGGATGACGGCAGATCATGGTCAATGACCCAGCGGTGTCTGTGGTGGGTGGTGCAACGATTCAAAAACCCCATACTCGGAAATCTTTCCTCCCCAGCGTGTGACAACCCCGACCAACCAAAGCTCAAAGCAAATAACCACGGTTCTATACGACCAGGCAGTCTCGACTCCATTTGTTCTCACCACTGTGCCCTGCAATCATGGTCTCATCCAGCCGCGCCCATATACCTACCCTCCTTGAACTACCGATCCCCCGCTTGCAATCACAGGACAGACGGGTACAGATAAACAACACTTCCCGTCTACATGTCCTATGCCCATAATTTGCTGTTCTCCGGTAGACTGTGCTTTGCTGTGCCGTTGTCAGGCATGGAAGCAACCCTTGGCTCTCATCTCATTGCCGTTCAACATGTCTATGGTTCGTTCGGGTTTCCACTGCGCCACTCTGTTGCAGTTGCTGACAGACATGAAGTGTCCTCACATTCGGAATGGGAAGATCCTTTCCCGTCCGAAGATCGGTGGCAGAATCACGGGTGGTATTGGAGCGGCACCGAGTCGGGAAGCAAGGTTTCAAGTCCGTCAGCTTATGTTTGGGTACAGTTCAGGAGCAAGCTGGAATTTCGGCTAGGAAGGGGAAGCGAGGCAGCCGATAAGCCAGTGAGCCAACCATTTCCAGTACGAGAACAGTGGCAGGAGTATTGGAAGCAAAAAGATCCAGAGGTTGGGCGATATCCTGCATACCAAATGTTCTGACTGTGTGATACTGATTCGTGTATGTAGACCCCCTCTCGCATCGTACTACCCCATTCGAAGATGTGGACAGACGACCACGCATACTTTTCTTGAAGACCACCAAGTTAACGGCCGATAAATAATGTGAGTGTCAGGAAGCAAGAGGATGGTAAGCTGGGAGCGCCACCACATTCATCCACCATTGATACAGTCGCTTAGGCGTCTAGTTTCGGCCAGCGGCAGCTTCAAATCGCATAGTTTCACGGCCGTCTTCATGGTTGCAGAACTAGTGCTTACATTCTCGTTATAAGGCTGGCTGATGGATATGATAACACATGGTTCTGGGTACATACAAACAAGCCGGACAGTCATACGTACAACCAACCGCGGGTGTACCAAGGTGTCCCTTGCCCATTGCAATGTTGGTTTATTACTGTCGCGGTCAAGCTCCACGGGGCAACTTTTGTTGGGAAAATAGTGTGTATTCATGGAGAGCGGACTGATACATGTAAAATTGCAACTTACTTGCGGCCATAAAGTACCCGGGTAATCACCGAAGCGGCCGCACTGGAAAACGGACGGAAGCCGTCTATCAAGAAAAGACGAGAGGTGAGTCTAACGACCTCGAGCCAGGATGATGTGACCTCCGTTTCCTGGTCGTCTTAACTACCCAAGGTTTCGAAGGGAAGAACACATTATAACCAGGCCCATGTTTGCGAGCCTGTATATGCTAGTTTTATGAATGGCGATACGTGTGCTCGGGTCAACAATGTGGACTAATACCGCCGGCAAGCCACACATATCCATCTGCCTCTCGCTTCTACCGCGGTGGTGAGCCAGGCAATGAAGATGTAGTTTATCTTAAGCCAGCTTCCTCGACATTGATAGCTTCCATAACGCGCGTTTGAGCATTAAACTCTATTCCAGACCTGTCCATCGCGTTTAGGAATGTATGTGACTACCCACCTTAGCACTGCTCACAGTTCACAAGCAAACTCACAATAAACTGGATGATCAAGGTTTATCTATCAACGAAATACAAAGCTACTCAAGCGCGACCGACTCTGATTTATACCTGAATGAACCATTTTAAGGAACTGTGAACATAAGATGAACAACGTGAGCGAGAAGCTCTCAAGCCCGGCTCAAAAATTGCCGGTAGCAGTGAGGGGTTGGCGACTTCATCCGGTGCCTCTTCCAATCCATCGAATGTTACATTCCATGGGTCAACCCCTCCGCCCCAGTTGAAGTATAACTTCTCAAGGACTTGACAGCCTCCAAGCAGCAGCAACTCCATGACTACCTACGTACCATCAAAGACGTGTATCATCACCATCTCACAATGACTTCCCACCCGGAATTCAATGAGCGGACAACAGGCACCGAGGTCGCCAGCGCGTTTGCCGACCAAATTCGCGGAAGAACAAGTAAGAAAAATCCCGACCCCAGAGTTTCTGCTGATATCGTTGCTACAAACTAATCATTACTCCCCGCCAGTCCTCATCACAGGCATCGGTCCCAAAGGAATCGGGGCATCCACAGCCCTAGCCTTTGCCTCGCAGTCACCCGCTCTCCTGATCCTCGCCTCCCGCACCAAATCCAAACTCGAAGCAGTTGCAGACCAAATCCGCACCAAGTTCCCCCATCATACTACCACCAATACGCGAGTAGAGCTAGTTTCCCTCGACCTCAGCTCCCAGCACTCCATCCGTCAAGCAGTCACAGAAATCACACGCTTAACCAACAACAACAGGAAACTCGACATACTAATCAACAACGCCGCCATCAACACCACCACCCGGCAGACCACGCCCGACGGAGGGCTCGAGTTGACATTTGGCACCAACCACATTGGCACTTTTCTGTTTACGAACTTGCTCCTACGCAACAACTTACTATCACCACCACCGGCACGCATCATCACCGTCTCCAGCGCCGGCCATCGCCTCTCCCCTATGCGCTTCAGCGACTACAACTTTTCTGACCCTACTTATAGAGAAGTCGTCCCAGCGGGGGAAGACCACATGCGCCCTCCCCTACCTGGTGCCTTTGCCAAGTGTACAGAAGATGGATATAATGGGATGGTGACGTATGGACAGTCCAAGACGGCGAATATTCTGTTTACGTTGTATTTGCAGAGACATTTGGCTGGGCGGGGGATTGGGGCTTTTACGTTGCATCCGGGGAGTATGTCTTTTTTTTTTCTTTTTTTTTCTGTCCATTGTGGGGGCTCCGGATACGAAAGATTATTTGTTGATGACTGATAATTGAGTGAGATGTATGGACTGACATTTTGTGTGTGTGAACAGCTATCGAGACGGAACTGGGAAGGGATCAGGATCCCGAAGTCAAGGAAGAGTTCCATAAGATTGAGGCGTATTGGAAGTCGCTGGATGAGGGGTGTGCGACGACGATGGTTGCGGCGCTGGATCCGGCTTTGGATGGTACGTCTTTTTTCTTTTCTTTTTCTTTTTGTTGCCCAGCTGTGGATTTCCTGGGAATATTCAGTCAAGTGTCAATGTTCCTTTATTAACCACATGATTGACACAGAAACCAAAGGATTATACCTGGTGGACTGTCAGTTCTCGGATCCCCATCCGCATGCCAAAGATGAAGTGGCCGCGGAAAGGCTTTGGAAGCTTAGTGAGGAGATTGTTGGGGAAAACTTTACTTTGGAAGATTTTTAGTTGGTTCGTTGGTTGGTTGGTTGGCAGGTGGGTGGGTGAGACTGTGAACCTCGGGCTAGGTACCTAGTGAACGGCCTCTAGCTGACTGATATGGCGCCGCGAAGTATATCCGAGGATGAGGAAGTGAACTACATCCCAAGATACCTCAGAATGTCGAGTAGAGTTGGTTCGTGACAGTTTTGCACTCGAAAGGCTCTAAGGGCTGAGGAAGTCAATGGCCAGAATGTGAATGAAAGCAAGACAGTCAGTTTCTGACCTACCTAGATCCTAAGACCTTTCCCGGTGATATATATACCATGTTATTTCCTGCCCCTCCAACTCAACAACCCATTCTTTCCTTCCCACCCCTCAAGTTTTGATTCTCCCAGCTTGCCTTGTTTTACTTCTCATTACAACGTCTGCCCCAGATCGAGGTCGCGTGGGCTTCCCACCCTATCATGTACCTGATCCCTAACCTCCTGCGGCTGCAAAACCCCCCATCATTCCCCGAGGGACATTATGAGTATATGGAGGTCCATGTACATGTCCGTTCTGCTCCCGCTCTCGCTCCTGCTTTTGGCTCCTGTTATGGGTTCGTTCAACCCCAACCCCAACCTCAGAGGTACCCCTAAGCAGCCCGGTATAGCTGCTGACGCTTGAATTTGATCGAGGGTCAGTCGTGGCCGCCGCGGATGTGGATGCGAACCTGGACAATGTCTCTTGACCGGTTGTCATTGATGGTCGTGGCTGAAGTGGAACTGCCGCTGGTGTATCAACCGCAGTAGCGCCAGAGCCAGAGCCAGAGCCAAAGCCAGAATCATGGCTTGTTTCAATGTGTTTTGCTTCGACGATATGATGATGCTGCTGCTCTTGCAGCTGATGCCCGTGGGTGCTTTCTTCGTGCCTCTGATGCGTAATAATGACGACCTCGCGGGCTAACACGCGGAGTTGCGGAATGGAGGCTGCGCAGATGGTTGTGGCTACCTCAGCGGCGCCCCAGATGATAAGCCTGTACCCGTGGTCTAAAATATCATGAGACGTATGTGAGTATCAAGTGTAGAAGTTATGGAAGAAGGGAGAGAAAAAGAAAGGTATTTGACAGGTACTGTGGGCTACTAACAAGAGAAGTCACCGTGTATAATTTCCGGAACCATGGAGCATTTGACGAACGCTGTGCATGCTGCACTGCCGGGAGAGACACCTGCGGTTAGGTTTGGAACTGGCATTGGAGAGGAGGGATGTGAGCTCTCTTACAAGAGACCCATGCTCATGGCAATACCGATTCCGATCTTTTCCTTTCGTTGCATGTGAAGATCCCATATCAGACACCAGGGCAGGATGGCAAGCACGATGTCCATCAGACCCGAGTATACTGCAGAAATGGATTAACATGACGGAATCGAGAACACCCAGCTACCCCTTGTCAGGGGGCTTGACACTCACTTCCAGCGAACATCATGGAAGAAGCCGTGAATTTGATGCTCAGGCAGTTCGGTTCGTCGTCTTCATTCCCATGCTCATCAACTCCGCATTGTATCCATACCGCTATCACGTTGAAGATTATGAACGAGTTCATTGTTGCAATGATGACCAGGACCAGTGCCCTGATTTTTGGTCGGTCCCGTATAAGGCGTAAAACAGTGAGGCCAAATGAAGTCTTGCTCCAAACGGCACCTAGCATCATTACCGTGGTGGAGAGGTTCGTAAGAGTGTTGATATGCTTGAGGTGGTCGGCCTTTATGGTATCCCTGTGTTTCCCAAAACCAAGACGAATGTTGATGGTGTTGACGATGGCATCGAGTATGAGGCAAAGCTACGCATCATGGAAAGGAGGTTAGAGAGGTCAGTGGTTGACAACAAAAGATCTACAAGAAGTGTTCCAGGCATTGGGGGTACAAGCGTAGGGGCGCGTAGCTGGCTTACCCAAGCGGCAACGAGAACATGATCGTCCCACCACAGAGATGTTTTCCGCAGAACCTTGCTGTACATGCGGAGGCCGAAGAACAAGGCCGACACGCAGACCAGCAACCAGTCGGCAATGATTATTTCGGGCCCTACAGATACTGGGGTATAGCCGGCGTTGCTCTCTGACCGGCCGAATCGAAAATTCTGCCTCTCAAAGATAGGCATCGTGTGGTGAGAGGTAGTTGAGAATGCCAAAATGGGACATTCCAACGAACGCCTAAAACAACTCTTTGGGAAGTTTGCGAGATGGGAGAGTCAGTACTGGTGCCTTGCCCAGTGACTAGACCAAGTGTTGAATCTCGAGTGATAACCAGGCATAGCTCATTGGCACGGGGCCGAAGGTTTTGAGGATAATCTGTGTCTCACGAGCAATCTCGCACATAATGCTAGTGGCCAGGAGGAGAGATGCTGAGTTATGGTACCACGAATGTGCGAAGGACTACTTACCCTCCGTCTGGACTGATGGTGGAAGTTTGCTTGCTTTTCGTTTGAAACATAGTCCCTTGATAGTACGAGCACTGCTTGGCAAGCATGGCCACTGATGACCAAATTGGCCAAGGGGTTGTCTTCCAGGCAAATAATATTCTGTGTGAGTCTCGGACAGCCATCATGACAATAGGCCAATGATGATATGAGGAGGATGGATTCTTGGGCACGCCATTCCTTTTTACTTCAAGGTGTTCCAGCTGAGCCAATTCGTCTGATATCGCCGGGCAGATGTATGGTAAGTTCTGGGAGATGGGACTTATAAGCTTAGCCAACACGTGAAGTCATGGGTTGGGAGGCGATCAACGAGGAGTGCATATCTTGTCTTGATCTGCCTCATTCCCGAAGACCACGGCCCGCGGCCTGTGACACGCGAACGCGCACTCCCACTCGAGAGCAGCGTGTCATGTTCCTTGGAAGCCGGTTGTTGTGCCAGGGAGAACATCAGACTGTTTGCTTTTTGGTTGAGATTAGTATACCAAAGTGTCAAGTGTTTGGCCATTTATGTCGTCCTTCTCGACTCGAAGCATGTCGTTGACCACCTTCATTTGCCGGAGTCAGGTTTCGGGGACACAAGCAGACCATGCCGGATTGTTTGGTAACACACTAGTTTGTGGAACCTGAAGGAATGGGAGTTGACACTTGCGACATTGTGATTACCAGGCAACAATCGCGTCCACCAAAAGATGGAGTCTGGGGTGTACAGTCGTATAGTGTAAATGTTGAGAAGAAGAAAGTGGTGGGTTCCCTTAGCGAGTGGAAAGAAGAAAGAAGAAAGGAAAAATCCCATGACGAGATGAAGCAGCACGTCGTCGTTTAGCGTGATTAGAGATACGCTGTGATGGGGCAGAGTCTGGAACCTCACTTAGTGCACAAGTACACTACACCACAGCGGGCTTAGCAGGGGTACCTAGTGTAGAGGTAGGGTACTACAAACATCCAATGACGTCACTGCATCTACCTCTATTCTCCTGTGTATTCCTGGGTCACAGCCAGCTTTTCAGGGCTGTGAGAGCCGTTGTGTCGGTTACTATTGAATCCCGTCCAAGGTCGGGCCTTGCTTGAACAGGGTTGTTTGGATTGGGACGGGGGCAGTGTTTTTACTCTACCTGGTTTTAAAGTTCTGACAGTGATCCCGTTTGTCAGTGTTCGTCCCATCTCCCGATCCAACCTACTCTTCTTTCTCGCTTTCTACAGTAGTTCATGTCCTACCTCCCGTCATTACCATCATTACGACAACTCATTTTGCGACAACTTTAATTGCCATTGCTGATGGTACCCTCAAATAGTCGCCTGTACCCACCTATGCAATCCAACATATGACGACCCTTGCTTGAACACACATATCTCTACAGACCAGCTGCAACGATGAACTGCGTGCGCATGCGGCTACAATGCCGCTTGATGCCATCTTCCAATACTCTGGGCCGTTGGTGTCTTGAATCACCCCAGAAGAATCTCACCCTTCACCGTCCTAGGATATCCATTGTCGCACTGAGACAAGCCTCTACCTCGGTGTCGCCCAAGACCAGGGAAACAGAAGCCGAGGCAAAAGCCAAGAAATTGGACCAAAAACGGCTTGACGAACACGAAGAGGAGGTCAGGGCGCGCGAGCAACAAGTAAGACGCCCATGGCATCGCGAAGGTGCCGATAAGCCTCCGGTCGAAGGCAATACCGAACCCATAGCAAAAGGTAATAAGCAACTGCAGACATGGAGAATGCCGTACTCAGAACCCATCACTGACCATCTTCCTCGCTAGGCAAGCTGCTGACAACGCCGACTCGTCTCCTCAAACTCATACTTCCTCTACCCCTTCGTGTCGAAAAAGACCAAAAGAACAATGGCCGTAACAATGAGTACGGCCGTTCGATATCCCTCAACAGCGACATCCAGCCACTCGCTCTGCTTATACACCCACAACAGCCACTTTCCTACGTCGAACGCCTGATCCAAACCGAGCTTCCGCCTGTGGTCGAAAGTGGCCAGGAAAAAATCCCCAACGTTTACTTCCGAGCCGAAGATTCCGAACAAGGCGACCAGAAACCCATGAGCCGCTCCGAAGCGAGATCCAAGGACAATGGCGGGGAGCCTAGCGAGTACAATACCAACCTGTCACACGTGGCCTCCTATTCCGGACTTGGCCACCGAGGCCCCAAGCGGAGTTCCCAAGATAAGAGATGGGTGCGGTGGAGCAGTAGTACCGAAATGGGCGACTTTATTCGGGACGCAGCGCGCGGCCGAGAGTTTGCCATTGAAATCGAAGGCTATAACATTGAGATGCGCGTGAGTGTTCCCTCGTTCGGGGACCGGACCTATTACATGCGCCAGCGTCTGCGTAAAATGAGCTCCGAGATCGACGGGTTGGCCAAGATTAAGCACGAGTGCGATCTCCTGGCACACCGGAGCGCACATCGCCTCGCCAAGGGCGGGTTTGGCCTGCTTGCTGGGTGGTGGGGAGTGGTGTACTATGTGACGTTCCATACCGAGTTTGGCTGGGATCTGGTCGAGCCGGTGACGTACCTGGCGGGACTGACGACCATCATGGGCGGTTATCTGTGGTTCCTCTATATCAACAAGGACCTTAGCTACAAGGCTGCCATGAATGTGACGGTTTCGAGAAGGCAGCATGCCTTGTACGAGATGAAGGGCTTCGACATTGAGCGGTGGGAGCAGTTGGTGCAGGACGCAAACGCGCTGAGGAGGGAGATCCGAGTGATTGCGGTGGAATACGACGTTGACTGGGATGAGACACGCGACGTGGGTGAAGACGTAAAGGATGTCCTCGACGAAGAGAGGTCAAGGAGAGACGACGAGCACCGGTCGATTGAGAAGGAGAAGGACGAGAAATTCACCGAGGATGAAAAGAGAAAACGCAAGAAGGAGAAGGGGTCCAAGGAGGAGTCGGGAGATTCATGAACCCGGTGGATACCTAGAAACGAACGGATACATACAATTGGGTTGGACAGGATGTTGATGTTCAATATGATGGCTGAATGCCAGGCGCAGAATTTTATCAGGTAAGATACCTAGACAGAATGTTCCACCAAATACGTTCTTCGGCGATGTACTGCGTAGTGCATTGTGTGCTGTGGTCTGACCATGTCCCTGTCACTCCAGTCAGTTACATAGACAGTTAGTGACTTGCCGAGGTCCAGCCCTATCTTCTTACCTTTTCGGACGTAATGTGTTAACAGCGGGGTTGAGGTGGATACCCATGTATCATGACCAGGATGGAGCTTTGTACAACTCCGTGAACGGTGCCCCTCCTGCCCTTCGATCTGTCGCTCCCGTTCTTTCAATTCCAAGCATTAGTTCTAGATGCTTCGTCCCTGCTGCTCGTGCCTTTCACGGAAAAGCCATCATGAAATAATTGAGAGTACATGTAGAGGCTCTGACTAACTTCACACTATTAGCCGTGGCCTTTGGTCAGATATCATGAACCAAACAGCTCCAGATGACCAGGCCATGATCCCACATATCTCGTGCCATCTCGCCATGTCGTCCTAGTCCAAGCCGATATGGAGTGATACCGAGTCTTCTTCCAGAACACTTCTTCCTACGTTCGTCGAATACCTTACCTACCCTACCAGATCGCCGTAATTATTAATACCCGGTCATACAAGGCGCGTGATGGTGTCCAGGCTCTCATTGCCGGATCGGCGCCTCCGCGTCACGATCTGTGCCATGGTCTCCATTCTCCATGCTACCTACCTATCCCGCCTGTTACCCCACACTAGCTATTTCAACCGGAGCTGTCCCTGCTGCCCTGCTCGTTTGCCGCCCTGTCTTCAGTTACAACCACCTCGTCGGCTTCGCTTGACTACTTGTACAATCTTCACGCCAGCTTTCGTTTCATCTCCGAGTCTTGCGAAACACTGACATCCTTACTTACCCCTTCCATCCAGAGACAGACAGACGAGTTCGGTCCAATGGGACCCCAAGTCATTCGATTGCCCGACGGGCAGCTCATCAGCGTCACTCCCGTGTTCGCTGGCCTCTTCTTCAAATCCCACGAACTCAGTACTCCGCAGCACGCTATCCCCGCTGGCTGGAGCATCGTCATACACACCGAAGATGATCACAAACCCGGCGATTCTTCCGGCCACGACGCCAAAGAGGGCGACGAACACGGCGCCGAGTCGAAACCAGCCATACACACGTACACCAAGCCCACGCTCCAGAATGACAGCCTGTTCATTTCCTCGGTTTCGATGCCTGCTAGCAGCGAGTTCAAGCCCGCCGCCAGCCCCACGCGACTGATCGCCATGATGCTGTGGGTTACCCTGTACTGGTACTTCCACCAGCCCGCCCCTTCGCCCATCCTACGAACCGAAGCTTCCAAGGCCACGCCCACCGCTGGCCGCCCGCGTGGCGAGTGGAAGATTCGCATCAAGAGGGATGGTGTCCTGCGCGGGAGGAATCTCATAGCAAAACTCGAACGCATGGGTCTTATAGCCAGTGCCGACTCCTCTGTCGGCACCGCCCTGGATGATTCGGACGAGCCGTGGGCCAACATGTTTGTCTCGCGCAAAATGTTCTGGCAGATCCCTGGCCGTCTCTTCCTCTTCTCCCTCCAGCCAAACTCGAATAACCTCAAGTCCCACCCCGGCTCTCCAGCTGTCAGTCGGCCTGGGTCTCCAGCCGCCCAGCACAGCACTCAGGCGCAGCAATCCCAGATCACGGACGTATCCGAATCCTACGGCTCCTTGCCTCCTTGTTCCATGCCGTCCTATCCCATCGGTCCTTTCTTCAGCGCCTCCTATCTCCCGACATATTATCCTCCTGCGCCCCTGCAGTACACAATCACCAACCATGTGCGTCACCCCGTCCGACCAAAGCCTCCTCGCATGGGAGAGGTCTTTTACACACGCTTTGTGCCTTCCGTTGGCCAGTATCTCGCCTTCCGCGTGGCGTCTCTATCTCCGCAACCAGTACCTTATTTCGGCCCTGTTGGTCCGAACCCACCTCAAGGACAAAACCATCTTGCCCAGATGACGGATTTGGCACTAATAGAAGCCTGGCATCAAAGTCCACGCGTCTCTGCATTTTGGGGTGAGTACTCGGTCAACTTCTTGACCAATGCCCTCAAGAGTCGACACAGCTTCCCTGTCATTGGCCTGTGGGATGGCGTTCCCTTTGGTTACTTTGAACTCTACTGGGTCAAGGAGGATTTGTTGGGTCGCTACATTGGAGGGGAGGCAGCAAATGACTGGGACCGTGGCGTTCATGTCCTGATAGGAGAGGAGTGGGCGCGCGGGAGAGTACAAACTTGGCTTAGCGGTTTGGTGCACTATGCATTCATGGCAGATTATAGGACCATGAGCATGTGTGTCGAACCCAGGGTAGACAACACCAGGTAAGTCGATATCGTGTCAGAAGTGCCTCGCTGCTCTCGACGGATCATGAATGCTAATCGCTCATCCTAGGTTCATTCAACATCTTGAACACGCCGGGTTTACCAAAGAAAAGGAGGTGACGTTTCCGCACAAACAAGCATGGTTTGGCCGGTTGAGGAGGGAATGTTGGGAAGGGCCTGCACTTTGATTTCAGTTTCCACGCAGTGTACCACAATCACATCGGACGGCAGGTCCCTTTTTACCAGTAACACGCTCCTAGAACACAACGAGGGCTGTCGATGCGTGGATAATGCTCCCACAGACGCTTCACTAACTCGGCCTTTCATGTCCCTGTTCACCACTTCACGCCACAGCAACGGACTACCGGCGTCAGCGAACACTATACGGCTAGCTACAGGCCGTTCGTCCCTAGATCCTGACCTGCCAAGCCTGCCTGGGACAGGAAGCCTTGCCTTGGACCTTGTTCATCTTCCTTCCGGATTTGGCAAGTCCCCCTACACAGAACATGGCTAACACGTACGCAACGACTATCATAAACTTTAAGCTGGCACAGAGCAATGTGTGATATGTTGCACAACTGAGTAAGTGCAAGGGTTCGCAAGTGCAATTTCTTTATTACTGCTTCATGCCATTGAACATTGGGGAAGGCCAGTGCTGGGCTTCATAAAGAAAAACCTCGAACATATTCCAGCCGAGCTTGACTGTTTGTTTGCTGATGAGGGTTCTGTTACAGGGAATGACCCATCAAAGCACAAGAGCCTTAACAACACCCGATACGCGCATTCTGCCCGTAAATATGGAAAATACAACAGCCATGAGCGAGAAATCCAATTGCACTCGGTTTCGACTATAACATTGTGTTTTTCTTGACGGCTTTAGAAACGATTACTTCCACGTCTTCAGCGTTTCCTTTCCGTGATCGACTTTCCTATTTACTCAGCCATGCGGCTTGCCCTTGCCCCCGAACCCGGCACCAGCTTATAAATTTCTTGATCGTTGTCCAACGCACAATTCTTGCACAAGCCAGGCAGTATGTTTCACCAGACTCATTTGGCTCTCTTTGAGTGATATTCGTTCCGCTCGACGGGGGGATACAAGCTCGGATAGGCACAGCTAAGCTGAAGTCCTTGGCCAATGTTTCACGCGAGTGGCTTCTTCCCGTCACTGCACTTCCGTTCAAGGTCCGAGTTCCTGTCCAAAGCAATGCAAGGCCCAGACCGTGTGTGGCTGTCAGTCCTCCTCGCTGTATTTTGTCACTTCCTTTTCGACTTTTCTTTGTTATACCGGCAATATCTGTCCGAGTTGAGCGGCACCGCAGTACAGATATAAAAGGTTGCACCTGTTCTGGAAGCCAGCCCTGCCAGCTTCCAACGTACAGTTCTTATCTACCTCCAGTGCTACAGTGGTATACTTGGGAGTTCAATCAGCTACATGCAGGCCTGTCTCACCATCTCCTCCATACGTCTAGTTATTGCCGGGACGTGTGTTCGTACCCCTGAATTCCCACAATGAGGCCCAATGTCCTCTATTTGGTTGCGATTCTGAGCACACAAGCAGCAGCAATTGAGGCCACCTCAAATGACGATACACGCCCATCAATATGGTGCACGGCAGCTTTTCTTTACCCAGGTCAAGACCGCCTGGGTAACAACGCCCTGAAGAACGTCTTTCACGGTTATTGTGGTCTGAAAGGTTACGAAGTTTCTACCGACATTGACCTCAACCAATGTTTGGAAAATAGGAATGGGCAGATTCGGTGGAAGGAGAAGTAAGTTTTCTCTTTGTTTTGTCCCTGGTTCTTCTATTTGTTTCACTGCGCACCTTTGAGAATTACCTCCCACACTTTGCGGCATGAGCGAGGAAGAAAGAGAAAAACCATGATTGACCAGTCACTAACTTCATTGAATTAATTAGTGGAAACGGAATCAGTAACTGCGAATGCAGAAGCAAGAGGAACACCCCTTTTGTGATTGAGTGTCAATGCCCGGATGACAGGGGCAACAAGAAGATATCAAGCGTTAACCTCAGTGAGTCATTTTCCCCATCGAACACTTCCTTTCTTGTGACCTCTGCATCTCTCGGTTCAACATGGGATGTCCTCGGAAAAGCTTCACACTGAATCGAATAGAAGCTAATGCAGTCCCTACCACTGTAACCAGATGAGCAACTGAAATACGAAAACGGCACCTTCAAATGCTTTGGCGCATTGGGAAATACTGAGGATGTGTCTTATCGATTACCTGGAAAATCAGGTGAGGGTGGGGGTGAGAGATTGGAACTGGAATCGAATTTGATACTTAAGAGAGGGTGAAGTTGATGGCTTGAGGATGTGACTAGATGTGCCTATGAAGACAGGAGTCATTGTACCCGAGGGAGACTGATGGTCTGGAGGTCTGGGGATGTGAGGTTCGCAGATACATTTGGGATTGTGGTATGTGCTGTGGTTTCGAGTAAAAGAGTCCAAGGTGGCTTGCTTTGGCTGGGCAAGGCTGTTACTAGACTGTGAGAGGGATTACAGAATTTGAAAACACATCGGCGATCACTTGGGGGGTTCTCCCTTTGGATACTGCCTGGAACCATGCTTCGATGTATAATGAATAGGTATCCATCTCGGTTAGTCAATCATCTTTCCTATCTGCCATCCTCTTTGTTGGAGAGTTCATATGTAACCCTAACCCCGTCCAGGCCCAAGGTCTTTCTTTATGCGATCACGTGCGAGAGCTCTAGCTGGGAGTGTGCAAATTCCCCAACCCCCCAAAGGCGTCATTCGGCCATTTCAACAAGTAGAACTTTGGACGAGGATTCGCTTTCGGAGCCCGATTACGTTCTGGATTGCATTGGCTGGCATTTCTCTAGACCCCTTGGGATTATCTCTGAATGCGACAGCAGCCCAGGTAGGAGCGCCAGTTCCTCCACCACGATGGCTCCCAACCCCCCTTACATGTCCTCACTCTTCGAGCCAACTTCCGCACCCCCCGAGCCCGGGCATCCGCAATTCCAGCAATCACAACCTCAACACCCTGGCATTTCACAACAGCAGCAACAACAACAACAACAACAAGCTGCCCAGCCTCAGCAAAGTCAACCGCGGCAGAAGCAGCCACGTAAGCCCCGCCAGCCAAGAAAACAAGCTCAACAGCAACAGCAACAGCAACAACAGCAACAACAACAGCAGCAGGTCCAACAACAACAACAACAACAGGTGGCCGCTCAGCAGCAACCTCTGGTTTCAATTGACGCCCAACGGTTTGCTCAACTTCAAGCCGAGGTTGGTCAACTTCACCAGCTCGTCCAAGGTATCATTCATCGTCTCGATGCCTACGGCGTCCCATCCCTGCCTGGCGGACATCATGCACCCCTTCTTCTTCCGCAACAGCACGCCCCAGTCTCGGCTGCTGCGACTTCCACCCTAGTGGCCACTTCTGCAAACGCGGCAACCAACAACATCAACTTTAATGCGCTTCTCACAGCCGGTCAATCCCATGATGGCGGCGGCAGCGGTGGTGGTGTCGGTGGTGGTGAAAGTAGCGTAAGCGGCCTCGTCAATGGCGACCATGGTCATCATCACGATGACGGCTCCGCTGCCAACGTCGGCGTCACTCACCACCAAGACGGCGGCGGCGGCGGCGGCATGGACCACGACGTGGATGACGATGACGACGACGAAGAATCCCGCCAACTCCAGCTCCTTTCGGCAAACCTAGTAGGCGACCAATCCCTCCCCTCCGTCTCCTGGGGGGTCGGGGACAACAACAATAACAACGGCGCTTCCGGACCAGGCGCAGCAGGAGCAGCAGGGTTCGACATGGCCTACCCACCTCAAGGCCACATCTTCCACATCCAACTCTCCACCTCGGCGGGGGGTAAGAACTACGTCGGCGGGGGTCCCAACGGGGCCTCAGTGGTAGTCAACAACTGGACGCGCCAGCACGGATACCGCGTTATTACTCGTCGGTCCAAGATCAAGAATGATCGATACCACTTGACCATGTCGTGTGCGCTCAGCGGAAACAAGTATCGACCTGTGCCGGGCCCGACGCAGGAGCAGATTGAGGAGGCGAGACGCAACGGGCAGAGGAAGCCGTACCAGAGAAGAATCGGGACGGATAAGTGTAATTGTCCGTTTCGGTTCGTGCTGAGGGAGACGGCCAAGCATAGCTCGACGTTTGAGGTGAGGTGGACCATGGTGGGGCCGGATCAGCAGCCGGCGATGCATAATCATGGGCCAGATCCGAAGGCTTTGCTGGGGGATGAGTAGTACCTGCGTCAAATGTGAGATTACGGTGACGGGGAGGAGGCTAAGGCGAGCAATGGATGAGTTCAGGATGGAGAGGAATGAGAGAGCGAAAGGATGAAGTGGATCGCAAAGTGCTAAAGACAGTCTCATTCATGTTGCCCAGCGTCGGTTGTTGGCTCTCTCTTTCTTCTTCGGAGGACCTGGGTTATAAACTATACGATGGAACCCAGTAGCGGTTGGGACTGGTTATCAGAAGCAAAGCTCTATGTACGGGCACATTCATACGTTTCCTTTGTTTACTTTTTTGTTTCTCAATGTGTGTTTTACTTGTAGTGTTTAATGTATATGTTTTCCGGGTCAACAACTTATCCAACGCAAAAGGGGATATCAACATATTCCTGGACTATCTCGACTGAACAAGCTTACTCTATAGGTATGATCGCGAAGTCTCTTTGAGTGGTATGCAATTCATCTCACTGTCCACCTAGCTTATGCTGACAACCTGATATGTAGCTGCGTAGTAAACCACACATGATTGGTATACCTCTAGGGCTTATCATTGTAAGATAACATTTTTTGTCATAATGTACGCGCTTCTAGCCTAGCTAACTGCCCGAGGTCAGGTAGCGTTTACTTGTAAGACTTGCAATGTAACCATCTCGCATCATTGTTTTTATGCAAATATCGACCCAAGCGCTAGAACCTCCTGACCTTCATCCTCAACCATCACGCTGACACAAGCACTATTCTTCACGCTCCCCATTTCAGTTTCATCCCAGGTCGGCTCTTACAGCCAACCAACCCAAGAACAATGCCCAACGAGATTTCCACCTCCAACAACGACCAAGCTCTCCCAAGGACAGAAACACAAACAGCCAAGTCATCACCTACCTACACCATCCCCGAAGGCGAATTCTGCGTTTTCGGAAAAGTTAGTCCATCCTACCTTACATCACCACACTAAAAAGAAAACCTCATTAAACACAACGAACACAGGTCTACGCCCACCCCCAACACGCCTCCGCCCTTGCTCGCGTCTACGAAGAAACCACCCGTCTCGCTGCCTCCGAGCCAGGCGTGATTTATTACAGCATTTCCCAGGAACCAGCAGACGCCGACGCAGGAGGTAGCGGGAAAGAAGGAGGAGGAGGAGGGGAGGAGAGGTCAAGGGTCTTTTATTTTTTTGAGCAGTACACGGGGAGGGAAGCGTTTGAGGCGCATAATCGACAGCCGATCATTAGGAAGTTGTTGGAGGAGGATAAGTATATTGAGAGGGTGGAGGATGTGGTTTTTGCGAAGCCGCTGAAGGGTGTTGGGCCTGTTGGGCCTGCTGGGAAGTGAGTGGAGTGGGGGAGTGGGAATAAACTGAACAGGAACCATCTAAAGTGTGATGTCCAGTGTTGGGGGAAGATGTCAAGATAAGGTGAAGAGCTGACGAGAAGTGTGGCCGTGACGAGTGTTGAGAGGAGGAAAGAGTTGATGATGAAACTATAGAGGTACACAGGAGGTAAGGTCTCTACCATAGGTCTTTCCTCGCATTTAGTTGTTTGAGAGTACAAGTCCCGCCTAGCACCTTTTCTCTCTTGCCAAGATGAGGGTTTCTTGATTGGCATTGCACTCGAGGTTGAGGATTTCGGGTACAGTACAGTACCATGGAAGCACTGGCTCTTCATGAGCATCATATGTGAAGGCCAACACTCAGGTTTCGCCGGCAAACGCCTTCAATGACCACAGCGGTGGTAACGTTTTTATATTCCTGGGAATGGATCAAGCATCTTGATGACCAGCATGTACACTAGTACCAAATGAAATCACGATAAGGTACCATAGGTGGTGTTCTGCTCCTTCCCAATTCCGCCGTTGCTTCCCCGCACTTTACCAGATATGCCTTGAGCCTTCCACCATCAAATCCATTCAGGCCGTTGCTGATCACTATCTATCCATTCCAGACCCAACTTCGAATGCATGTAACGTAGGACACAACCGGAGACTGTGTTCAAGATTCGGAGCTTAGTTCCCTCCATTTGCGGGGAACGGTTTCATCAAGATTGAGGATGTCTCTCTTTGGCACCCCCGCATTCTTATCCCTTGCGCACTTCTCAAGCATCCGGCGGCTGTCAGATGTGCATATCACGCTGCTCATGTGGCTTGCCCATCGAACATACAGGCCCAGCAGACAAATGTGAGTTTAATCGTCACTCGACGATACCCTCATCCCAACTCTTCATCCGAATAATGCCTTTGCCTGCAGTCAAGTTGTGGTCAACAAAGTCGCCGAACTCTAATGAGCTGTTGCTGCAACAACCATGCAGCCCCCAAGACCAACCGTGGAGATCGCCGAGGATGTCGACGGCGGCACCAAGCGACGCGTGTCGAGTCATGACCCAGAAAAGATCCAGTCGAGCGCCGGCACAACCCACAAGTTCAGCGAACAGATCCCACATGAGATGCTCGAAGAACTGGCTCCCAACGGGGAGGGCGACTACATCTGCGAAAAGATCGACAACATGACCGAGGAGGAGGCCATCGCCATCGTTCAGGAATCCGTGAGGTTCCATGCCGACGACTGGAACTTTCCCTCGGAAATGCGAGAGCGTATGAAGCGCCTGCTTGAAGGCCCCAAAGCGTACGGAGAATTTTACGACCGGGACCTGCGAATCGATGCCACTCTGATGCGCTATTCGTCTCCTTATCCCGGGGTTCGCGCGGTCCAAGAGTTGAAAGATGATCCGAGTGTGCCGATTGAGACTATCAGGGCATACTTCTTGGGCGTGGCGTGGGCGATCATTGGAACTTTTATGTCTACCTTCTTTAACAGCAGATTTCCGTCTATCGGTATGTTGGATGTTGTCTCTAGGACTCACTCTTCCTTCAAGATTTGAACACTGGGACTGATTACATCTGGCAGGTCTTAGTGGGTCGGTTATCCAGATCTTGTTATTTCCATGTGCCAAGTTTCTAGAATGGGTGCTCCCCGATTGGGGCATAACGGTCTTTGGTGTTCGTCACTCGCTCAACCCAGGACCGTGGACGTTCAAGGAGCAGATGTTTTCCACAATTTGCTACAATATTGCCATCTACACCACCAACTCATATGGAATGGTACGTTTTCGGTATAGTGATTGGGATGATGTAGGCTGACTTGGCTGGACAGATTTTGGTGCAAAGGCTGGATGTCTACTACGGACTAAAATTTGTCAACTTCGGATACCAACTCATGTTAACGCTTTTTGTCCAGCTCATGGGCATGGGATTTGCTGGATATCTACGAAGATTCAGTGTTTACCCGGTCAAGGCGCTATGGCCGACAATCCTTCCCACAATCGCCATGAACCGAGCTCTGACAAGACCGGAACCGAAAGAAAACATCTATGGATGGACCGTTTCCCGTTACCGCTTCTTTTATATATGTACTCTGTCAATGGCTATATACTACTGGTTTCCAGGCTATCTGTTCACTGCGCTTTCAACGTTCAACTGGATGACTTGGATAGCCCCAGATTCCGTTGTCCTCTCCCTTTTGACCGGCTCAATCACAGGTTTGGGATTGTTCAACCCCATCACTACGTTTGACTGGAACGTTGCCACAAGCTCGTACGCCGCACTATCCCAGCCTTTCTTCGCCACTTGTACCATGTACTTTGGCGGCATTCTCGGCGGTCTCATCATTTTGGGCATATACTATAAGAACATGAACTATACAGCTTTTCTACCCATCAACTCCAGCTCTGCATTTGCCAACGATGGGACGTCGTATCAGGTTCAGAAGGTGGTGGTCAACAACCGACTGGATCAAACCAAGTACCAGAACTATTCACCACCGTTTTACTCGGCTGGATATATCCTGACTGTAGGGGCAAACTTTTGCTTCTACCCAGTGTAAGTCAATCCTTTTTCAGAAAGCCCATTATCTTGATCTGATCATTGTTTCACTGTTAGCTACTTTTTTTATATCATGGTCAACCAATGGAAGACTATCGGCCAAGCCTATGTAGACTTTTACCATGGTTTGCGGTACGGAAAGGGCAACTATGAGAACGCAATGGATATTCACAGCAGACTTATGGCTCAGTACCCCGAGGTTCCGGATTGGTGGTTCCTCATCATCCTGGTGGGCGCCATTGTCGTATCCGTCATCTTTCTCAAGATTTATCCACTCAATACCCCGATCTGGCTCGTGTTTCTCGTCATTGGGATCAACCTAGTCTTTGCCGTGCCGTTATCGTTCCTCTCGGCAACGACTGGCACGAACCTCGGTCTGGGTGCATTGATCCAGGTGATTACCGGATTCTTGCTACCTGGCAATACCAACGCCTTTCTGTTTGCGCAGACACTAGGGTCCTGGGCTCTCGCGGGGTATGGCGACAACATGGTCCAAGACCTGAAGATGGGACACTATGTGCGAATTCCGCCCCGAGCCGTGTTTCGAAGTCAAATCGGGACCATCATCATTACCGTCTTTGTCGCTGTCGGGACCCAAGACTTTATCATGACCAACGTCAAGGGGCTTTGCACCCCCAACCAGCCTTCCCGCTTTACCTGCGCCAACGACGGGAATCCCCTCTACGCCAGCTCTCTGATGTGGGGCCTGCTCGGGTCGGACCGCATGTTCAACTCGCTCTACCCGCTGTTCAAGTGGTGCTTTCTCATCGGGACTTGCATCGCCCTAGTTTTCCTTTTTGGACAAACATACGGCCCCCGCTACCTCCCCGGCGTCAAAGACCAGCTCCGCCAGCGTCTCTCTTGGCGGATGTTTTCCCTGCTGGACCGCACATTGTTCCCTTTTGTGGCGTCTCTTCTCTGGCTGAACCCTATCCTCGTCATCCAGGGCGTGCAGCACTGGGCGCCGAGTAACATGAGTTACAAGACGCCCGGGTTCATTCTGTCGTATGTGTTTATGTACTGGATGCCGAAGCACCGGTTGGCGTGGTGGGAAAAGTACAATTACGTCTTGTCGGCGGCCTTGACGGCTGGGGTGGCGGTCAGCGGGCTGATTATCTTTTTTGCGGTCGGGTATAATCCGAAGAGGCTGGAGTGGTGGGGGAACACGGTGAGTGGGGCGGGGGTGGACGGGAGAGGGACGGGCATCTTGGAGATTCCCAAGGATAGAGGGTATTTTGGGCCGGAGAAGGGGACGTTTCCTTAGAGTAGATTTTTTTCTGATCTTTTTGATTTCTTCACGTTGGAGGAACTCTCAAGAACTCTCATGATGGGAGTGAAAGGTCAGTCATTATAGGGGGTTGGGCGTGGTTAGTATCTTTGATCAAGGGTTACGGTCCACAGTGGCGAACCACGGCGGCCGGAATGGTGCTGGGAAAGGGTCCAGTTTCAAGTTTTGACCTTATTTAAAGAAACAGATCGACAGTTCTAGGCTTGTATGTATTTGGCCTGTTTCATGACTGCACAATGTACGTCAGCTAGTCCCACATTGGAGTTGAAGATTTCGGGCGGTGAGCCGGATTTCCAGGACATGGCCCCTTCTTCGGATGGCTTTGGTTTTCTCTGAATGGGTCGGCTTTCTGCAGGGACCATGCCCATTGTAGGAACCCATTTTTGGGGTGGAAATTGACGTTGCCGATGTGCCGTTGCGGTGGTTAAGGTTTGTTTCCATTCCTGAAGTTCATTACATAGGATAGTTGCTGACGTATGTATTGGCGGGTTCGTGAACGATTCAGCACAGCGAGATATACTTCACTCTGTTCAACCACCCGACTTGTTGACTACTGCAAATACTGGATTCTCGGAGAAAGAAAAGAGTTCCTGACGAGGTTGGTTACGAGGCCCGTCATCCTGCGGCGCCGTCTGGGCTGAGCTGTTCGCTAGTGGGGCACACTCTGTTCTCTACAGCTTTGCGGTGCTGTGATTGGGCCAACCCCCCGGATTTTGGGGCTGAAGGTGCATGTAAGTCGATGCTTCAAGGCGTACCTTACATAAGTACGGTGAAGAAAAGACGCAGAGAAGTTTTCTATATCTTTGTTGGTTCCCTTTGGTTTGCCCGACTTTGTAGAGAAGACCTTTTTGAATCCTTCATTGATCTATTACAAGTATAAGAGAAGAAGAGACCTGGGAAAAGTACAACGGCACAACTGAAACCCGGCCCAGGCACCGCAGCTTAGGTTCCTGAACGTTGGTTGGATCTGCGTATCCACATTTCACTTCGGACGAACCAGTCGACCCCACCCACCTTTTGCGCATCCTCCCCAGCGCGTATTGTTCAGCCTTCACCTTTTTCAAGTTTCTTTTTGTTTCGACGAATCGAGGAACACAAGGCGACGAGAAGCATCGGTGTTGGAAAAGACTTGGATCGGTCTTCTCTCGCCCCTCTCGTGGTTGGGTTGCAGCGACAGAGCTTCGAAACCAGGAACCATCTGCGCATCGACGTCATAGCAGTCATCAGGGTCCTTGAGAGCTGACGCGAGGAACCTGTTGTTGACCGCCAGACCCAGACGAGGCAACCTCTAAAAAGGTCGAACGGAAACCCCAAAAAATAAGCAAAAGAAAAAAGAAGGGCGACACAACGCGAAGCCAAGCAACGTGAGCGACAACCAGAGAAACGGGGCAAGCAACCCTCAGGGCTTCTCTCAAGGCTCAAAGCAGTTTGTCAGTCCCGATTGGCAGAGCGAGCGCCGTCAGTCACCAGACACATACGGGCATATACCATAACCTTTCACGCGCCCCAAACCAGTTCTGAATTCCCGAAATTCCTGCGACTGTTTGCGACCTTCCACTTTCGAATCGCGCCCTTCAATTTCATTATAAACCCCCGTCGTATCTCCTCGTAACGAGGATTTTCCGAATCGCCAACTCTCTCTCTACACCCGTCTTCGACCAAATCCACTGCTGAAAGAGCAGAACACAACCAAAAGATGCTCTTTGCAATGATGTTCGCCTTTTGGCGATTCCTCGAAATCATCACCTTGGTAAGCATCATCCATTCCTTCCCCAAAACAAATCCCAACAACGATCTAGTCTAACCCTTCTTGTCTGAAGATACCAACAATGGGCATGCTCGCCTACTTCGTCGACGGCTACGTCAAAGCCAACCAGCTCACGCCCACCTACATCCTCATCCTCTTCATCGTCTCCGTCCTCGCGCTGGCCTGGTGCATCGCCACGCTTTTCACCTACCACCGCTCCTCCACCAACGCGCAATTCGTCTCCTTTGTCGACCTCGCTTTCGTCGGCGCCTTCATCGCCGCCGTCTTTTACCTACGCTGGATCGGCAACGTGAACTGCACCTCGGTCGACCGGGGCAACCCGTACTTTGTCGACTTGGGCGCTGTCGGGTCTGCCAACTTTAATACGTTCCGCATCAATATCAATAAGACGTGCGCCATGTTGAAAGCATGCTTCGCTTTTGGTATCATGAATTGCATCTTCTTCTTTATTACCAGTCTGTTGGCGTGGATTCATGGTGGACATACCGCACGGGGCGAGAGAGTTTACACGAGGAAGACGACGACTCATCACCATCATCATCACGGTGGACATGGGAGGAGGAGTCATAGTGGGAGCCATAGTCGCAGCAGGAGGTCAAGGTCGCATTCGAGGTCGTATGTTTAGGAGAGATGGGACATTGTTTGTGAGGTTTGGGAGCATGTTGTAAGGGAGGAGCAGTGGCAGGTGCCATTCCTTTGGATCAACGAGAAGGACGATTACCGCCTACGGAAAACTTGCAGAAAGTTGCTGGCGTTGGCCAACTACGTTGTTGAAGGGTTGGATGATGCACATGTTTCTTCAGGAAAGATGATGATGATGATAATGGATGGAGATACGGAAGGAAGGTTAAAGGGAGCTGCGCTCCTCTGCGAACCTGGGTTTTTATGACTGTAATGATTGCCATGTACATAACTTGATGACGATGATGATGATGATGAGAAGAGGAATCACGTACGGCAGATAGTAAGCTTCTCCTTATATAGAATAAACGGCCAGTGGCCAACGCTTTTTGTACCCACTGACCCCTTGGGTTGGGTGGCGTGACACACTCGCGCGTCAGGAAAAAGGGCTTTCTTATTCAAAAGGTGTAAGATCGAAGATCTGATTCTTTTTCCGGGGTTGGTGTTTACGTTCAGTGTTGACTTTGGTTCTTGTCAAGATAGAGAGTGAGAACCTAAGCCGAGTCACGGATCACACCCCCGAGTGCTACTGTAAGTTTTGACTGATGCACGCTCATGACAATGGGGGGTTGGCCATCATCAACCTCGGTTCTTTATAAAAGGAGAAGACTGGAACCCTTCGCTAGGTATGTACTGTACCACCAACCTTCCCTTCATCATTTATAATCTCGCTGAATACAACGAAGGACAGAGGCAGTTCAGTAACCGATATCAGCGACAGCATTTGTCGAATACGACATATACATCCTAAGCAGCAACTCCCGACGGCTCATAACAATGGGCGCCACACTCTCACAGCCATACATCCCCATGCTCCCAAGGAGCATCAAAAGCAAGTCCAAACGCCCCAGATACCTGTTTCGCCTTCCAATCCGGTGGAAAAAGAAAAGAACTCTTCCAGAAATCCACGCTCCCTTGCCCAACCCAGGCCACCATGACCATCGAGAGGAATCCCGCGAGTCAAAGCTCTACGATGGTAGTAGCGCCGAGGGTGAGGAGAGTTCTCCCTCCCACCAGTCCCTCCCTATTACGTCTGCCAACGACAAGCCCTTACCAAAACTACCTCTGGAAGCAGTTTTCCCTGCGGCTCAATTACCTAATCAACAGGCGCAACTCAATTTCTCTAGCGACCGTCCAGCCAAAGTCATGCAATCCATCAACGCTTCTGTTGAAGACATCAACCAAGAGGACGATAATGAGGATGTCTCAGACTCAGACTCAGACTTTTCACCAGAGATAGAGAGACCGCACACCCCACCGCCCTGGGACACTTCCCTTTCCGGGTACGGCTCCGTCCTCGAGATTTCCCGTCCGTTCAGAGCCAGACGCGTGTTTGAGCACCCGCTTGTCGAGGGACACTTTTTGGGAAGCTATAAGGGGGATGACCTTATTGGTGGTGGTGGTAGGGGGCCGATAGCAGCTGAGGAGAAGAGGAGGGTGTGGAGGGTGTGGGAGTCAACAAACGAAAAAGGAAAAGGGGAAGGGGAAGGGAAAGGGGAAGAAAGAGGGAAAGGGAAAAGGAAATACAATGGAGTGGACGATGAATGGAAGGAGGTGGGGATAAAGAGTGAAAGACAACAAAAGGCGATAGAAGGAAGGGAAAGGGAAAGAGGAAAGAAGAGAACAAAGACAAGAAGAATGTCCGAGTGGAAAAAGTGGAAGCCTTTACCTAGATATCCAGCTTGCACGGGAGTTGCTCAGAGGGCTACGTCTAGTACGTGGGCTGATACTGCTGCTACTGGTGACAGCGACAGCGCATGGAGAGAGGTTTTTGTTGAGCAGGCGGAAGACCAGGAATATCATGGAGGAGATGAGGAAGAGAAGGAAGACGATGAGGACGAGGATCTGGAGAAGGCAATCAAGAGGTTCCTGGAGATCAAGATCCCAGTTGACTTGAGCAGTTTACGGCGGTTGAGAATCAGTCTTGCGGGAACTGCCGGGGAACATACCACGACTGGTGAGAGTGGGACTGGAGAAACTGCGGGAGGGAAGGCAGAAAAGGAACATTTAGATGGGGAGCAAGGCCAGTTATCACCAGTCGACTCCTTGATGTTCACGGACACGGACATCGAGGGCTTTGAGTTTTTGATTGAAGAGGAGGACGAAGGAGGTGGGACATGGGATTCGGGAACAGTTGTGGGAGTGACAAGCGGAAGGGTTGAAGGAAAAGGTGGAGCCTGCAAGATGGATGGGCTAATTGGTGGTTTTGCAGGAGGAGATGCATCCAGAGCAGAAGTATCTGAAGAAGATTCTGACCACAACTTGACAGTGAGGACGGCTTTCAGCGTTACTCAAAGATTGAGTCGGTGGAAGGAAAGGGTATAATGAGAGAAGAGAAATGAGGTGATGGATTGAGCTCAACAACATGGGGGTTTGGGAAAGGAGAGACTGCGGTTAGAGCCAGAACCAACCAAGAATAAGAAAGAATGAGAATAGAAGAGGGAAGAATCACCGACAAAAAGTAAGAGAAACGCAGGGCAAACATCCATCCCTCTATGGCCTGCCCAATCAAGGTACCTAATAACCAATCAAGCCTTGTCTTTTCTCTGGTCAATTTAGTTACAACAAATCCAATGCCACCGTCCCAGACTGACCGAACCGGCGATGGTATTTATTGTGACAAGGATGGGTTCGGGGAATATGACCTCCCGCTTTTACGCACCCCCCATCTGAAGATCAACTCTTCCCTGTCGCCACCTTGCCCAAAAATACCACGTTTCTTACGGCAGGAAAAGACGCTACTGAATGAGACGCAGGAACAGCCCGACGCTATAGACCAACCATTTAATGCTACCTATCGTTCCCGTCACAACAGCACCATGTGGAGGCCCGAGATGCATCCCACCTTTGTTGTAAGTCCGATGGACGGCTTGGACGACGACATCTTAGCGCAGCTTTAACCTTTGACTAAGAACAAATGAATAGGAAGCTGTAAGAAAAAGTAAGTATCTCGTGATGAATTACTACATACCATACCCCACAACCAAGCTCTATGCGTGCGGATCAATCCAGCACCATGAGTGGCAGGGTCTTGAACAGTGGGTGAGGTGGTACAGGTCTAAAATGCAAGGTCAGTAACCCATGTGTGAGACAACCCTTGAGGAATGACTTTACCAAAGATAGGTACCTAGAGGTATGAAGACGAGTAGTAGTCGCCATGCCCAGTAGATCGTTCATATCCTATCCATAGGTATATTTCAGATGCTTCAACTTCTTTTCATCCCTTCAAGCTGACAAACCACGACGACAACATAAAGCATGATGAGGTGGTTCACATCATCATCAATCCTAGCCCTATCCCTGGCAGCAGCCACTCTTTTACTTCCATGCTTCCGTTAACGACCCCAACGGCTGCTCAACCACCACCATCTCCAAGGAAAAGAGTGGATCAGACTTCAAAAGCCCACCGAGCAAGCAGACAACGATAGGTACCAACGTCGCCTCTCTCTCTCTCCAAGATCTTCACCGCGGCCCGGCAAGAAAGTTGTTTCGGTCGCCGACGTCTTCAACGATGGCAACCACCAGATCACCACCGACTCCGACTCCTCCTCCGGGCGCAAGCGCTGGCAACACACCTCGCTCGGATTTTAACGACGAGGACACGACCAAGTGGGTGCCTGCCGCAGGGAATTACCTCGACGGCCAATGCGCTTGACGCGGGCACCTACGAGGGCATCAACGGCTGGATCGTGAGCTGGTACCGCGATGATGACAAAAGCGTGCGCGTCACTTTTGTGAATCGCGCCCGGGATACCTATCGCCATGCACTGCTCGTGTATCCGCATGCGTCCGACAACTTTAGAGAGGTGCCGGTGCATGCGGGCGGTATTATGTGGTATGGAAACACCTTGTGGGTCTTGGATACGTATAATGGTATCAGGGTCTTGTCTTTGACTTGACCAATATCTGGCAAGTTGGATCTGGCGATGATGTTGGCAAGGTCTCTAGCGGTGTCTACTCGGCTGCTGGTTACAAATATGTAATTCCCCAGATCAGGTCAGTCGTTTTCTCATCATTCTATGTCATTTCCTACCTAGGTATAATACTCCCGCACTGACATTTACCACTCTCATATCATGCAGATGGTACAAATGGTCCTCCTCCTTCAAGTTCCGGCACTCCTACATGGCCCTGGACCGCACCACCACCCCCGACAGTCTCATCGTGGGCGAGTACCAGACCTCGACTTCGGACCCTATCCGTCTGGTGCGGTACGAGCTCGACTACACCACTCGCCGGCTCAAGACCGACAGCAGCGGCGGTGTTTCCAAGGCCGTCTGGGCCTATTGCGTCAACATTGAGCGCATGCAGGGCGCCGTGTCGGCGAACGGCAAGTTCTACCTCTCGCGAAGCAACGGGGCATCCAAGGGCGATCTCTGGGCCTGGGTTCCCGGCGCCGCGGCGAAGAAGAATGCCGGCTTTTACCCCAGAAGTCCCGAAGATCTGAGCTACGACAAGAGGAATGGCGGGCGTCTGTATACCGTGACGGAGGCCGAGGGCGTGAGGTATATCATTAACTCGCCTGTTAACAGTGTCAGCTTTTAGTTGGGTCCGCAGGCGTCCGAGAACAATCGGACAGAATCCGATAAGGAGATGGGTGTGGGAGATCGGCTGGCGGTTACGTCCAAGAAAACGAGGGAGGGTTTTTGAGCGCCCTTTTCTTTTTTTTCTTTTTTCTTTTTATGGAAAATTCATACATACCTCTAAATCCGGTTTCAGTATTGCACATTGCTCATGTGTATGTGTTTGAGATAGGTCATCATCTTCCGTCATCTCTTCTTTGCTTGCCCATCAAAGTCACATATATTAAGCGCATTATCCCTCCTTACCCACATCCCTCAACTCAACCTCCCCATACATCCCCTGCCGCAGCGTAACCTTCATCCCCATCGCAGCTTCATTCCTCAATCCCACCCTTTCTGCCTGACAAATCTTCGCCTTGCTCTCCTGATCAAGTCCATGTGCTATCGCCGCCAAAGCGTCCTCTTTCCAAGGGTCCACGCCGTACATGCGGGTCTGCCAAATTGTAAGCCCAAGATAAAGCGCGCTCGCCACCATGACCGCCACAGGAACGGTGACGAATGGCCAACGGATGCAGAAACGGAACTCCCATTTCTTCGTGTCGCTCTCCATTACCCATACCCCCTCTTTCTCGCGGATCCAGGCTGTCATACTACGGGCGACGTTGTCGAAAGTGATGCTGAGATTGGTTGATTTGGCGATGGCTCCGGCGACGGGGTTACCGTAACCTATATCGGCTGTGGTTGGATAAATCAGTGGCTCGGGAGCAAGGACGTGGGTGAACCAGTCGATTGTGGAGGCTAGGGATATTTGGGTGATGTTGAAGTAGGGGAGGCGGTTGGAAACCGTAGTAGCACCAGAGTCATCATGTTCCCCAGGGTCAAGACTGGGGTGTGTAGCCAGGAGTAAATCAGATCGCGGAAAATCCCAGAGCGTTCCATGTGAATCTGGGCGGACTGGACTGCTTAGTGTGTGGTTGAAGGGATGCATCCATCTTTCTCTTTGATCTTCTGTAGAGATGTTGCTTTCCAGAAATCCATCTTGAGGCAACAGTGACGGATGTGACCACTCGTCCCACGAGTCAAGAACGGATTCATGGAGTATGCCCTTACTAACGCTCGAATTGTATTGATTGACGCAGAAGGATAAACCGCATTCCATGGCGAGTGGAAACGTCGTATTCCAAGGCGAAAGGTTGTTGACAAATTCCGGTGTAGACTGGATGATTCTGAAAACAACAAAGGTGGTAGTGAAGTTGGCAAAGAATATCGACTCGGACCGGTTGGCTATGACTTGGACAACGGTTTGATTTGGTGATATCAAGCTGATGAGTTGATCCGCATTTCCCTTTGCCCGCCTGTGTATTGGACTTTCTGTGGGAACTGGATATGCATTCCTCGGCGGCTTTGCGTCGTCCCGATTGAGAATTTCCAAGCCGTATGGCAACATATATTGTGTATATGTGCTCCCTCCCCCGGGCACTTGCTCTCTTCGAATATGATCTGACACATTGATGCAACGGCTGCAAACTGCCAATGAGTCGAAAATCCGGAATGTGCAGTTACCGGTGTCGCAAAAGAAGGATGACTGGTAAGGGTCTATGAAGGCCAACGACTTGTTGACAAATCCATCGTAGACGGCAAGCGTCAAGCCAAAGTCCGCTGTCAGTGCCCTTTCCTGGAAGACCACCGTGTCGGGTCCCATCGAGCCATTTTCGTTCGTCAAAGTAATCTGTTTTCCTGTTATCTGTTCTTGACCTACACAGATCCTGTTTGATGCCCGAATCTTGGCCCTTGAGCTTCCTATGAGTGGAACCTCGTATCCAGATGTGTCGACTATGGCTTGGACGAAGGGGTCGTATCCGAACATTGCAACCGTTACTAGAGCGCCGAGCGAGGCGAGATGTCTATAAGATCATTTTGTTAGCAGCTGAAGGGCAGGTGAATCAACTGAATGGCCCTACAACCCTCACAAGAAACTCAAACTTACCGATACTTGAGCTTCCAGAGCAGCTATAAACTTCCCAAAGGCCCTCTACTTGCTTCATCGAAGGTTCTGAAGACCAGAACGTCGTCTTCTCTTTGAGAAAACCAATTCCACTTTGCCTGCCCCAGACAGGGCGTGATGGCGAAGGCAAGAGAGGTGCGAGAAATCTGTGCCAGGGTCGATATGATTGTGCCCAGTGACAGGTAGAGGGGCCACGATTCCAAGGGCTTGCCGTCGAAGAAGTAAAGAATACCCAGTGTCAACGCCAGGGAGAAACAGCTGAGTGTCATTGCTGCTAGCTCCCAGAACCAGGAGGATCCCCATCGTTGCCATGGGGAGTACTGGGACAGTCGCGTGTTGGTTTGCAGAATTCTCCGAGGAATGACTTTTTGCGGTATGATGCAGTCCTGGTGCGCTTCATATTGGCCGAGTGGGAGACGGTCCTGGGTAGAGAATTCTGGGGACAGCGGAGTAGAGTCGGATGGTTCATATGTCGAAGTGTGTGGATTCATGTCTCTAGTGGTGTTTGCAAGCAAAGACCAAGGGAATATGCAAGAGAATATGAAAACGACTTGAAATGAGAAGTGCGAATAAGAGGGGAGCGTTCAAATACAGATTCACTCACCAAGACTGGTTAAACTGGAACATGCCCAGCAGGCTATGCGCACCCTGCTTGGTATGAACCGTTGTGCAACGTCTTACATGGCCACACTGCTCGTGTCTCACGAGGAAGAGATCTGATGGGCTCGTTGGTTGAGGGTGTCGATCGCCTTGTGTCACACACCAAACATCGGTGGTGTTAGACAATACCGAGGACTCACAAGGTCCGAAGTTTGGCAGGACCCAAATGTCAGAAATGATCGGCCACGCGACATACCGACTGTATGATGAAACGAAATAGAAGATGTGGCACCAGGTTGAGCGCTGCCAGCCGGGATGGACGCATACTTGCCTCTGAACGAGGATTCCATAACAGATGAAAACGAGGGTTTTTCTGACGATGGTATCGTAGTTCTGACAGACAGATATCATATGTAGCCGGTACCAGATTCGAATGAAAATGGTGACAGAATGGTGGTGGAAGGAAAATTGGATACTCACCTCTACATGGACTGCAATGAACTTTCAGCGCGGTCTTCTGTTTCAAGAGAGGCACCCACGGTACCACTCATGATTGCTGTTTCCTTTCTTGATAGCCCCGCGACTTGCAAGTTGTATGCTGGAAACTGGCAGGAGTGAGGCAAAGTTGTCAAGAAAAGGAAAGAACATATCAAGAAGAAATGGGGTCATTGTCAACCTAGCGCCTATCCGACTCATCGCCCTCCCTCCACTCACTGAATATCGCGGATACCAAAGGCCGAGTTCCTGCATGATTTGACGATGGTAGAAAGGAGCGGAAGCTTGGCTATTTGTTTTTCAAGCACGAATGACACGATCGCTAAACGTGCTACGTAAGGGATGACTCCCCCGAACCCCCTACTTAAGCTCAAGAGGCAGCGGTACCGCCTCATCCACAGTCTTCACCTCGTGACCCCAAACCATGGGCTTTTCTACCCTTTCTCTTTGACGGGCCTTGGCCATCACCTGGCGCGCCAGCAAAATTGCTTGATTGCCTTCGCTTACCAGGCTTCGCTGGAGCTCATCCATCTTGTGCCGTAGGGTGTCGATCGGCTGATCTTTGTTTTCGGCAAGAAGCTTGGATAGGCCGACTGCGTCTTTGATTGCGTGATTTGCACCTTCCCCGCGAGCTGTCCACAACAAAAGAAGAAGAAAAGAAAACCTGGTTAGCTCTCCCTCTCGGTGGTTTGAACTTGCAACAAGTGGTTGTAGGAGAAGATTTGAGCAGAGATGAGGGGACTTACCCGGTGTCATCGGATGAGCGGCATCCCCGATCAAAATGACCCTATTGACTGGAGGGATATCCTCTATCAGAGCATCGTACCATGCCTGGAGGATACCATTGTTAGTGACCGGATAATTTCCCTCAACTCTCAATCACGATCGACATACCACCACCTTCTTCAAGCCATCCACCTCCGTTTTTTCCACCGTGACCCTGAACTTGGGATCCAGCGCCTGGACTCTCTCCTTCGACTTCCGCAGCCTCTCTTCTGCCGTGCCCGTCTTGACCCAGTGATCATCGCCCACTTCTCGACTTTCCACCATCATCCAGTAGTAGTCTCCGTAGGATCCATCGTCGCTGACGCGGTTGAGACCGCTGAAGAGGACAAAGTCCGGACCATACGCGACGTAGCACGAATAAGCCAGTTGGAGCTGACTCTCCATATCGGCACGATTAAGCCGACACTCGCCCATGGTGAGTGTCGAAGAGGTTGAGATCTCCAAGACCTCCGAGTTTGGTTTCCGGAGGATGTGTGGTCGGACTATGTTGATAGTCAGCCATTTCACTGCCCACTCCCGTTTCATCATCATCACATAATCATGCAAGCAAGCAAACAATGAATGGGGAAAAAAACAAACCAGCACTAAAAGTCCCATCAGCCCCCACGAGAATAGTCCCCTCCGCGTGAGTCCCATCCTCAAACCAAACCGTCACCTTATCCTCCCCCTCCTCAATCCTCTGTGCCCGTTTTCCCCACTGGATATCCAGATCGCGAGCCAAAGCCTGCCTCAGCCGTAACCTGTGGGCTCGCAAGCAAGGCGTCTCCGGGCTATCTGTCACGTACCCTGCCCGCCCATCCGGAAAGAACATGGCTAGGCATGATGGCAGCTGGAGAGGAAGGAGGTGACATGATGACCGGACGGATGAAAAGACTTCATCAGGAAGAGAGCCACCAAAGAGCTTTTCTGGACTGCACAGTACCGCGTATGTATGTCAGTTTCTATAAAAGACATGCATGACCACTTATGGAAGTCAGCGCAGGGGTGGTGGTGAGTGTTTACTCGTGAAGTCCAACGGCGTATCCTTGGCCTCTTGCTTTGGCGCTGGCGTCACGCTCAAAAATCTGGAAGCTGATGCCCTGCTTGCGAAGACCTTGGGCAAGTGTTAAACCACCAAGGCCGGCGCCTATGATTAAGACGTGCAACTCGCTGTTCATGGTGTAAGGAACTGTTTGTGCTTGCAAAGAACGGTGAGAAACCGGGTTGAGAGAGAGTGATGCTGAGCGTGGTGAGAATCCGTGTCAGGCCCAGCCCGGCGCTTTCTATGTATGGAATCCAGCTCCGACACTCATATCCACCTCGGCTTCCCGGATACCTACCCCTCCTTCGAATCCACCGGCGATCCATACCGTGCAGTGCCCTCCAGTAGGATCGTGCAACATTTGTTGGGATCGTTGGTTTGCTGCAGTAGCATCATATCGCTTGTAACCGTGTGTGCCTGTATCCGAACTGCCCCTCACCGACGGTGTAACCATTCAACACCGATGGATACCCTGTCTGTCCATTTTACCTGCACTGGAATAGCCACGTGGCTCACCCTATAAGACCGAAAGGTAGTACAAGATTTGATATCTACCAAAAGAAAAAAAAAATAGAAAAAACCTGAAGAAGAAAAAAAAGGAACAAATTGGTGAGCTTGAGATAAGCGGTGGGAAGATCCCTTCAGTGTAACGAAAGCCTTGACATTCTTTTGTGTTCCCAACATCGTCTAACTGCCGTCGCTTGAACAGAAACACGCATAATGACGACCGCCCGCCTTGTAAATAACATCTTCATGCTAGAGTTGACCCATGAACCCCCCACTTTGGTAAAATCGCATCTGGTGCTCTCGCAGGTCCGCCCAGCTCCTGAGTTCCATCTCTTCATCCTGCGGAGTCATGGTCCCGTCACCCCGGTCCGTGTTCCCTGGTCCAGTCTTCTCCAGCCTCATGAGAATGTCTAGAAAGCGGGTGAGAGGCTCTTGGGCCTTGGTGGCCATGGGCCCCTTCCTTCCAGGAGCATCGTGGACGAGAGTGGAAGCCACCTGACGAACCTTATTGATGAAGGATGCGCCATTGGGCTCCATGTTGCGTTGAGAGATGGAAGCCAGCACGACAAGGAGATTCTGGACAATCAGCTCACGCTCGGATGTCATGTTCTCGTCAATAGGATCAGATAACTCCTCTGTAGCAGCGTGTAGGGCAGCAGCGGCAACGCTCTTATTACTATCATGGGAAACTCCATTGCTGCCGTTGACGCCATTCTCCACGGCCGTGACGGCAGCATATGCTTGTGCTGCTTGATGGCGGGTATGTTCGCGATGGGCATCGCGAAGATTTAGGTAGCGTTCGACGAAGTATGAGCGTGTCGCGACCTGCGACGCATATATATTTGCCTTTTGGATCTCATATTGAAGCAGACGACGACCATGATCGTTATTGACGATATGTTGGATGTCTGAGGCCGGCTGATGTGCAGGATAGGCGGGTGGGCAGTACTGGAATCCACTGTCGCTAAGAGCGCTACGCGACGCCGGAATTCGAGATAGCTCACTCAGGCTTGTTGGCATACCGTCGGCGGGATTGCTGTCCAAGTCCAGAGTGAGTTCTGGGGGCATGCCTTCCATGACCTGCTTCACAGCTTGCACGCAATCCTGTAACATGACCTTTTGATCCTGAAAGGGTAGTGTTGAGAGGCCGTATGATAACTCGATGCTGACCAACGGGTTCATGGTCATATAAATCTTTATGGCCTGAACGAAGCCAGTCAGACGTGACACGACAGACGGGGGCTGCACCAGGATTTGGGAGGGCAGAATGAACTCGTCGTCCACCTCAACGGGGAAATCGGGATACGGCTCGGCAGGTGTCGGTGGGGGGAACACTACATCGCCACTGGGCCCGCCGAGCTGCATCATTGAGCGGACACCCAGAAACAGGACCCAGAAGACACGCTTGCCGATCTGGTCCTGTACATGATCGAAGGCAGGGCCCCGGTAGGTGACTGCAAAAAAGTCACGCTGTTTATGGTACCCCAGTTCTCTGATGATGTTGCAAGTTTCTGACATGAAGCGGCGACACACCTTCCATTGCAAAGTGTAAGCAGCAGCCAAGCCGAGGAGATAGCTGGTGACTGCGTCGTAAACCGTCATGTCTTCTCGGTTATAAAAGTGAGAACCACGGGCTTCCATGGCCACCTGGCGGCATCGGTCGACGAGATAAATGGCCTTGGGGAACAGATTCAGGCCATGCTGTGACTTGAAATGCAACCGTGCGGTCCTGGGAAAGGAGGCAACCAGGCAGCCTACCATGCTGGCGAGTAGGGCCAGAAACTCGCGGCTCTTTTGGTCTTCGCGGTTGGCCAGTTGCTGACGGAAGGTAGGCTCGTGGGGGAAGGGCGTCAAGGGGTGGATATAGGTGAAGAAGTCGTCAACGAGGAGCACCAAGACGGACCATGGGGCTATCGATTCGGCATCGAGCATAGTCTGAGTCTGCCCATGCGCCTCTGCGTGGTGGCCGCCTCGCGGGTTGCCAGCGATGGAAATCAAAGTCTGGGCGGCGTTGTGAGGCTGTGCATGGTGGCCCATGTTGTTTGGCAAGGCAGGTTCGAGTCGCGGACGCTTCGCTGCTCTGGCAGCCTCTGCATGCCTATTGGGAGGACCTCGACGCCTCATTTCCCGGTTAAAGGTACAGTCGACCTGAAGATCGCGACATGGCCGACAAGGATGAGTCTCATCACACTACAACATGAGAGCAAAAGGTCAGCTCTATGATATAGGCACGTAAGAGATCTGGATAGCCCGGCTTTACCTTGACTTTCCTTGAGCTGCACAGGTCACACGCCCTCCGCAGGCGGGTGGTCTTGGACTGGGGTTTCGGCGTGGTAGCGGAGGCTGGAGAAGGTGTCTGAGAGGCCATTGGAAGTGCCTGTGTATACATGGCCGCTGCTTCAGGCGGATATGATTGAGGGTTTGCAACGTTGCCTGGCTCTATGGATGGTTGTGGTGCTTGACCAACGGCGTCGGGAGCAACTACAATGGCAGATTGAAGGGCTTGGTGGTCATCATGGTTGGCAGAGGCATGATGATGGGCGGCAGCGGCAGTGGCAGCTGCTGCAAGGACGGTGGGGTGAGCATCGACATTGAATGACGGCAAAGATATTGTCGAGGATTCTTGTTGTGGTTGTGGTTGTGGTTGTGGTTGTGTTGGAGGAGGAGGAGGAGGTAGTTGATGGTCAGTCGATTGGTGTTGTTGATGGGTTGGGGGGTGCAAGTGCCCGCCGTGGTGCTCTGTGGAGACAGCGCTTGTAGCTGTAGCACTACCGGCAGCCGTCGAGGTAGATGTCAAGTTGGGTGGTCTTGATTCTGGAGTTGCCTGCTGGTGATCAGAATAGTGACCAGTCGAGTGACCAGTTACTATGTTTGATAGCCTTGCTGCTGTCGCATTACCAGCGGTAGTAGCAGTCGTGGCATTTATATTCGTGGTAGTGGATGGAGATGTTGTCAATGGGGGGAGTGGAGGTTGTGTTATCGACATTCTGGACGAGGGGACGGGACCTGCCAACGGAGCTGGAGACGGGACCTGGCTTGTGACTCGGTACATACATACACTAGAATCCGTCGTGAATGAATTGCGTCGATGTGTGGGAAGGTGAAAGGGCTCCACAAGAGCTCTCCCTCATAAGAACAGCGGATGATAGGCCCTGCTCGTCCATGACAAAATTGAAGAGACGGGCATTTAACCGTGGTCTTGGCGGGCCATCAGCCAATTGCGCCAAGCGAAAGATCACACGAATATCGACAGAGTGGCGCTACTTCTCATAGCTCCAAAGTACACAAGACTGCTATAAATCTATCTGGTTTCAGGAAAAGAGAAGTAAAAGTATAAAAACAACCGATGTACCTCGAATCCATGTATTAGTGATGACGTATTCTGTAAATTATCACGACTATCCTAGAGGTATTTAGCCAGCCAATTAGGTCAGCAATTCAATCAGGAACGAATGCCACGTGACTTGACCGGAACAAGCCGACCATTCATTATGATCTTTGCAGTTCTCCACATAACAGCCTCTCACATTGGTCAATTCCTGCTCATTCACAACTGTTCCTTCCAATGTCACTTCCTGTCGTCCTCGCGGTTGCAATATCGACTCTCAATTGTCTTCAAAATGAGCTCTTAACAGTTGGTGATAATGGGGCAGTCCATTTAACCTCACGTCGCCGTTATCGGCCATCTTCAAGACCAATACAAGGGTCCCAGTACACGTACAAACTGAGCGATGCACTGGCGGACTTGACCCCGACAAGGATAAACCCCAGAAGCCCAGACTCCTCCTCCAGAGACCGAGGCAACTTAAGCATTGAACCAGGGCAACCAATTGTCTTCATCCAAGGGTGGGATCAACGGAACGAACCCCGGGCTGTTCACGGTTACGATCCCGCCTTTCCGCTCTTCGAAAAGACCGTGAGAAGCCGACTCTTCCTGTTCCGTCTGCGGATGAACAGACAGGACCTGGCAAAATTGCACCACGTCGTAGTGTAACATGCTGCCCACCGTCGTCCTCTTGATGGAAGCGAATCCCGATCTCACGAGGTCCCGTCGTACTCGGTCTGCCGGCAGTTACCGAATGAGGGTTAGGGTTCCTTTGAGTCACTCAGCTACATATCCATTCAAACGCCCCGGAAGCAGTCCCTGGACCCCTGATGGCGCCCCGATGCTCCTCCCCCATCCCCTTGCTCACATCCCATCGAATGTCAACTCCTTGTGATGGCTTCCACTTCTCAGCCGGCACTAGGCTGTCGACCACCAATGAGTCGTCAATCTCATTGCGACCTTTGAGTCATGGCAATCAGCCGCAAACCAACGGGTAGACCGACCGACGATCTCAAAGTCAACAGTCCAATTTCATCACAGATTCTTGCTTCTTCGTCTCGCCGAGACCGGGCACGATTACGGTAGCCTATCCACACTAGTCTTCCTGGGCAAGCATCTGTGGGGGTGGACCCCCACTACCTCTACCTCCATATCCTACCCCCACCGAAAGACCAACAGCTCGACGGTAGTACCAGACCGAGGGAGGTCAAGTTCTTGAACTCATCAACATTGAAAATACAGGAATACATATCCAGGAAATCCGAGGCGTGGATGGCAATTACCAAACACAGCTAGATACACCACCATCTCCACATCGATCCACGATATACATACAGTACTCTCTCCTATCGACAGAGCGGTTGCACTACACTACACCTTGGTGATCAGTATTGTAGGTACATCACCCCCCGGTACAGGACTTGTGCCGCACATGGACATTCAGGGAATATTTTAGCGAACGGAGCAACGCCGCTCTGTCTTATTGGTTAGACAAAAGTGGTCTGCATTAGACATAAGGCGCGTCGAATCCTCAAACCCCACCTCCACCAGTCTTCTCGTTTTCTGTATCGTCTACACACCACGGCCAGCCCTTTTCGTCACCTACGGATCCGGCGCTACCATCAGGACTACATACGTACGAGTCAGCAACCGGTGGCCTAGAGAAGGCTTGACGGACCATTAAAGGCTGGTACAACTCATCTTCCATTCGTTCCGCCCCGGGCCCCATTCCGAATCAAGCAAGTGGCTTTTGCAAAACGTCTCAAAGGAGCCTTCAACCCTCTTACCAAGTACTCGCAAACTGGACTATTGCACGCCTCCGACTTTCTGGAAGCCCGCGAGAAGCAGACAACTTTTGTTTCAACCTAGAGATTGGTGCCCTTCGACTGCTGATTCATGCCTTGGCCCGCTTCGAGTTCGTCAGACCTGGCCCGTCGGTTACCGGATCCGGCCTGCGCCATGGTTAGCTCGGGAGCCATCCATTCCAAAGAGGAATGGGAGACGTGGAAGAAAACAATTACACATCTGTACCTGTCCGAGAAGAGAAAGCTCCGAGATGTGAGGGAGATCATGATACAGAAACATGGGTTTCGCGCGACGTGAGTGGAGATCCCAAGTTTTACACACACCTGAACCACCACGGTATGCAATGGCTGGCGGAGTCTGACTTGCAGTTACCAATGTAGCATACACCAGTACAAGATCAGACTCCAGCAATGGGGCCTCGAGAAGAACAACAAGGTAAGACAAGCAAGTTCCGGCTGGTACGGGTAATCATGGCCCAGCTTTGCTCACGCGGACGCTTTGTTCCCTAGGAGAGTGACATGAGATATATGTCGGCCAAGGCCGCTCAGAGAGCTGCTCAGGGCAAAAAGTCAGCCTTTCGCGTTAGGGGCAGAGACATATCACAAGCTGAGCTCGACCGATACTGGCATCGCAAGCATCATGGCCATCAAAAAGGTTCTTCTGCAGGGATCGGAGAAGACATTGACCTGTCCTCCATGCCGGAAGAAATCGAGTGCTACACGCCTGTGAGCAGTCGTCCAAGCTCTCCAACTCCGCCCGGTCTGGACCCCCCACAGCCGCCCGAGGCGATCTACCGGGATTCCGCCGTTGTGCCCAACCAGTCTGGCGGGACACCTATTGACACGCCTGTCTATATCGCGACACCCCCAGCAGCGCTGATATCACCACCCCGAACAGAGCTGGTCAGCCCTACGAGTGTCAAACCAATCAAATCACGACCTGAATCACCTCCCGAAATTCTGCTCCTACGACAGCAACAGCGGCGGAAACCACCAAATGTGAAGACGGAGGAGGAGTCGCCCGAGAGCAGTCCCGACAACTGGCGCCGTAAGCGCAAACTTACCGATTTACACCCACTCACACCACCAGGACACCTCCTCTCGGTTCAGACGGTGGTAACAGGCACGCGGAACTTTTACGTCCGTTTCGTGCACTCGCAGGTAGACGCATCGGACGTGGTCAAGCAGCCGCCGCACTGGAACCTGCGGCGGTTCTACGAACTCGCCCTTTCCGTATCTGCGCAGCTCTCCCTGCCTCAATGGAACGACCAGCGCGACAGCATCGTGACGCTCTACAACGACACGCTCGACCAGATCCGGCCCATCATCACGCCCGACCCGAACCCGTTGCTGCTGACGTGCATCTTCCAAATCTGCTGCCGCTTCTGGCAGGACGGCAAGGCGCAGGCGCTGCACTACCTCCTGAGCTACATCCGGCACGAGGTCGGCCAGATCCACGGCAAGTCCCATCCGCTGTACGTCATCTGCGGCTCCCTGTTGCGCAGCCCCGAGGTGCTCTCGGACCTGGTCGTCACTGGTCTCCGCTGGGCGGTTAACGGGCTGGCGGAACGGCTAGGCGAAGAACACCCGCAGACGCTGGCGGCAGCGCGCGGACTGTACTCGGCCTATTACGCACAGGGTGACATGGTTTCAGCGAAGCGGTACATGGTTGCGGCCGTCGAGCTTGAGGAGAAGTTCCACCCGCAAGACATTCACGGCAGGCTGGACTTGTTGTTCAAGGTCATTCATTGCGAGCTGGGCATGAACGACATTACATCGGCGCTGGAGAACCTCAGAATCGTTGAGAACACGATCGATAGTCTGTCGGCCGCGGCCGATTGGCGGGTGCGCATGTGCTATTTGAGGGCGAAGGGCGAGTTGTTGAGGCAGCAGGGAGACCCAAAAGCAGTCGATGTGCTCGATGAGCAGCTGAGGTTGGCGAGGGAGAGCAGCCCGTTGCAGCATGGGTGGTGGGCGGTGGTGTCGGCGGAGAAACACCTGGCGTTTGCGAAAAGGTCGGTTAGGACGCAGGATAGGATGGTGCCCTACCTGGTCCCTTGCTGACGGCTTCTTTCATATCCCCCCCGGTTCCTTGGCTGGTGGATGGGTGGCTCAGGAGGAGAAATAATTTCTTGTTTTGTTCTTTGTGTTGTGTTTTCCTTCTTTTATGGAAAGAGCGGAGGAGTTTTGAGGAGTTGGGACTTGGCTTACGATGAAGAGGTGGTCACTTGGGTAGAACCTTTACATATGTCGTTTTGCTGATGTTTGTCGCTCGGTGGTTTGTCGGAGAGTCGGAGAAGGTCGATCCTGCACCAAACTTCTGTAAGGAACGGGAAAGGTGGGGACGGCTCCAGGCTTACGTAACGGGCGCAATAATTGCAAGGGAGACGGTATTTTTACTCGGGACGACGAAGATGGACGCGAGCTGATACCTTCAAGGGAACTACCTACCTTCCTACCTTTGATATGATCCCTACCTCTACAGTTGATTATTTACCAAATGAATTATCAGTCAAGAAAAATTCGGAACGTCGACGCCGAAACGTTACCTACCTAGGTACCAAGAAAGAAAACAGCCCGAGATGACCGGGGAAACACCCCAGGTCCAGTCCAGGGGTCAGGTACATAGCATAGCACCTGCCCTAAAATGCCCTAGCGCTATGTACACTTAGGGTACCTCTAGGTGCATGGGCCTAGTGTACAGTTTTTAAACACAGGTGGCCATCGTCAAGCAGACGACTCAAGTGGTCGTGAAAAAAAAAAAAAAAAAAAAAAAAAAAAGACCGAACACATCCAATGGACAGTCTTCTACGGCTCGCTTTCGTAAGGTTGGAAACATCATTAGAAAGACTGTGATAGGGATGTCTGTAATTCGAAGACACATGGTTTCATCCCTTTCTCTTCAAGTAGGCCTAGAATTAAAGTTCGAAAAGAGTCTTCAGGTACGCTTGGATGCGTGGTTAGGGCGTATGTACCAAGGTGTAATATAGGTACCTCTACTGACTGAAACGTACTCGGTTTCCATATTCTTACAACTATCCGGCAGGAACATCCGGACATCCTTCCCGTCGGTCAGCGAGCCGTTGCCGCACTTAGTTTTTATTTCGATAAAGAAGTTGTTCTCGCCGAGAGTTTTGGTCATTTGAGTAGTATTCAGTGTACTTAGTCTTCCTGTTCAGCTCTTTTGTTCAGACCGAACGATCGAACCTCCAATTTACCACACCACCAAATACTCGTGCACCAGACTCGACGTCTTCAGACTTCAACTTTACCTACCTACAGCTCTGTTGGACTTCCGACCCGAATTCACGTCACCATGGCTTCATTGGAAATCTTTCCCGGTCGCAACCTCGAAGGATACCTAGGTACAGTACAGGTGAGACCGCCCATGAAGAGCCCCTACAAATGTGAATCTGTTGGATCTGGACCAACATATAACGATGGGGTGAAAGAAATTCATAGCGAAAGATAGGTAGGTAGCTTGGGCAACACAGAGGTATATCCATCTCGACGCAGTAACTAACATCCGGATGCTAATATGTATGTACCTAGTAAGAACCCAGGACGATGAGTTTCGTTCGTGATGGCGTAAAGCGCACGATTCCAGACAACGTTCGGATTGTGTGTCAAGCCTAGGTAGGTAGGTACATACGTCAATTTCTGTTAGTGCTGCCGACTGACCAGCCCGCCAGTCGCCTACATACCTATTTCAGATCAAGAATGGAATTCGATGTCTAGGTGGTCAGAAAACAAGTTGTGTGATCTTCTATTGATCGGAAACTACCAAGGTTGTTCCAGGCTGCGAATGATCGGAACTCGGAAGCCGGCCGAGCCGCTAACAGCGGAATGTCCAAAAGAAAGAGGTTCCGAAGAATGGGGATTGTTCGTCAAGTCCTCCACTGACTATCTCGGACAATCTTCCCCTCAGGAGGAGGTGAGACTCTCTTGAAAAGCCGCAGCTCAGCTACGTAGCTAATCTGTTCAAACCTGCCTACTAAGCAATCGATCCATTCAAGACAAAAAGACGAACAATGGTACCGGAACTCGGAAGTCAGATCCTTGACAAAGAAGTCTCATTGTAAAGGGACTCCAAAAGAATGGAATTGTGCTCAAGTGGCTTAGATTGAATTGGGTGGATGGCTTCCCCCAGTACCCGGGAGAAGAGTCATCGAAAAAAAGAAAACAAAGAAATGCAGGGGATGAATACCTTGATTGGATCGGAAGGATTCCGGGAGAGAGATCGAAATGATAAAAGTAAGACAACAAGATGAACAACAAGACGTATTACTGAACTGGACTGCAATTTAGTCAACAAACCTACTATAAGTTAAAGAGAAAACTGAACATATGTCAGAGCACGGAATCATGATTTCATGTATTTATATATCTACTGGACCCTTTGAAGCTGTCAGTCTCGACTCTCGAAAACACCATCACCATCACCATCACCAAACCAAACCAACTGGTTCAGAAGGTAAATAACAAGATCAAGTTGACCATATACCCGAGAGAAGATACTACCCGGTAATAACGATCTCAATCTCCCAACATATTCCCAACCAAATACACACACACACGCCCCCAAAAATGTGCCAAATCAACATCATCCACTTCTCCCACCACCACGACTTCTTCCGCCCCGCCAAAGAAGCACCCAACACCTCCATCACATACAACAACTGCCACCTTTCCAACCCTACCAGACCAACAACCGAAGATGACGATGGATCCATCATGTCCCTCCTCCAACGCCTGCCTCAACACCACTTCGTCCTTTGCCCAACCCACACCCACACCAATAATCACCACTGCCTAGTTTACAAGCAGACGATGCCGTGTCTCCTGCAAAGGTTCCATTCTGCTGCTACTGCTGCTGCTGCTGCTGCTGCTGCTGCTGCTGCTGCGGAAGTTCATGTTAACGCTAACAGTAATGCTAACAGTCATGCTAACAGTCATGCTAACAGTCATGCTAATAGTCATGCTAACAGTGATACCGACTGGGAAGGCGATGCCGGCGTAAACGTATCATCAACCTGTCCCAACCTGGAAATAACACATGAACACCACCCGCTGAGTTTGATCACTGACATCAACAACAACAAGGTCAACGAGTCCGAAGCAGTCATATCAGGAGCTATTATTCAACGCTTGCATAGTACGAGTGACAGTGTGGACAGTGTGGACAGTGAGACCACCACCACCCTGTTGTCCCAAGCCAAAACTGCACTTTTGTCCACTGCAGACGAGATCCACCAGCAGACAGTGGAACTAAACACCCACATCCTCGAAACATGTTCACTTTTGGAATCCCTGTATCGAGAACTTGCTGCTTTTCCTACTACTACTCAACCGACGACGCCCCTCCAACGGGCGCAAACCCGGGCTCTGCTGTTTATGCAGTTGGAGTTGGAGGTACCACTCCATCGCGCAAGCGAGCTATGTCACAAAATCAACCAAGCCGACGCAAAAATCCGTGAGTTGTTCAAGACCTCCTTTTTGCAAAGACGTAAAGACATGTCTGATTTGCTTGTGGCTATTGAGAGGAAATGTGCGAGCCAGGGAGAGGGTACTACTGATTGTGGCGTGTATACTATAAGCAAGGCGAGACGGGATCTAAGGCAGTTGTCGACGGAAAATATAAGAGAGGTGTGTGAGGAACCGGTTAGGAGAGGGAGGGAGGTGGTGGGGGAGGTGGTGAGGGTGTTGGAGGGTGTGGAAAACTTGATGCGGGTTTAGGAGGTGTGTTGGGGAGTAGGTAGGTTGTAGAGGAGGTGAATATATTGATAGAAGTAGGGAGGGGATAGTTGACATTAGCTGGTGAAGCATAATAGATGAACTGAGTAACAATGTGCAAACAATGGACTGTGATGTGACTATTGTACTTGACAGAAAGGACCTTAGGCATTGCTGCCGAAGTGTATGGAGTAAATAACCTAAGAACAGCCTTTAATTAGAAGCTGGGGTAGCAATGAGCTTGCGTTCGAATTATCTTCACGACCAGTGTGGTACGCTACCACCCAACAGTAGGTACCTACCTACCTATAGGTAAGAAGGAACATGGTGCGCATCCAGTGCCAAGCATGAGAGAAGGTATCATCCCGCTTGTTGTACCGGTTGGGGAAGGAAGTCTGGAGCAGAGGTAGGGAAACGAACCCCCTCCCCAATTGGTATCATCACAGGGTATGATCGTCCTGGTATCTGATCGTGACAGACGGAAAAATTACTTCCCAGAAATACGTGGTCGTATGGCGTCGCATCGGCCGGTTAAAGCCCCAACATCATTCCTCAGTCCGTCGGGTGGTGTCCTAGTCCAACCCTTGAACATCAGAATGTCCTCCAGTAAATAGAAATAATCCACCTCAAACTTATCGTAGGACACCATCCTAGCCTCAACTACCTCTATTTGACCACCATGGCCAAAAACTTCAAAATAGCAATAACCATAGCCCTCTGCCTGATAGCAGCTTATCCCGCCTCCAGCGCAGTCACCTTCACCGTCCCCAGCAAAGTCGGCACAGGAGGCTACGCCTACGCCCCTCTCGACCCCGCGCCCATCGGGATCTCGTTCGAGTTCTTCGCCTTCCCGTCTTACTTCACCAACGTCACCGCCACGGAGCGATGTCTAGCAAACTGGAAGGCCTTGACGGGTGTGTGGCCGCCCATTCGCATAGGCGGAACGACGCAGGACAGGGCGCAGTATGACTCCAAGACATCAGCCTATGTCGTTTACTCGGTGGCTGACGCAAAGGACGCCCCGTCTGATTTGACGTTCGGGTCCCAATTCATGACGCTGGCGGGGACATATGAGGGGAGTGTGGTGGTTGGGCTGAACAGGGGCAAGAATGCTATTGGGAATACGATTGCTGCGGCCAAGGTCGCCGTTTCTGAGGTCAAAAATCTGCTGGCGATTGAACTTGGGAATGAACCTGAATGTGAGATCAAGCGCCCTTGAGGTTGGAGATGTTGATGAGCTGTGCTGACGAAGAGGACATATTATATACAACAGACTGGGTCAAGGATGGGCAACCGATCACATCCGGCGTCAACTGGACTCCGACTACAGATGCCGCATCGCAAAATAACTGGAACATCCAAGTGGGTAGCGCGGTTGGCAAAACCAACATCATTCAGGCTGGGAACTGGAATGAGGCGCCGCCCACATGGGGAGCTGCGCAATTGATAGCGACCGAGAACGCCACGGTGGAATCCTATGTTCGACACTACGCCCACCACAACTACCCCGGTGGAAGCATCCAGAGTCTCATGTCCCATTCGGCCATCTCAAAGAACATCCACACTTTTGACGCTGACATAGCCGCAGCTCGAGCGATTGGGAAGCAGTACGTCTTTGGCGAGACTAACTCGGGTACGTACCGCGTACCCCCTTTACCCTAAAGGAAGCTTTCTTAGCTGAGTTCATATTCCAGTATCCGGCGGAGGAGCAGCTGGAGTCTCCCCGACGTTCGGGGCAGGTCTATGGACCATGGACTACGCTCTCCGCGCCACTTACAGCAACATTTCGAGGACGTACTTCCATCATGGGACTGTCGGCAACTGCCAATACTGCTTCTGGGGCCGATACAGCATGGGGGCTCCGTACTACGGAGCGTATGCAGCGGTTGCCTTGATGGCCGGCGCGAGCCACTTGACGGCTTTGGATAGCGGTTCGACCAACTATGCGGCCTATGCCACGTTCGATTCGAGGGGGCTTCCCCTGCGAGTGATCTTGTACAACTCGGATTATTTCGCCGGCAGCGGGACAAGGACTACTCAGTCCTTCACCTTGGCCGGCTTGACCTCGTCAACGGTCAGAGCGAAGAGGCTGACGGCAGCAAGCGCGACGTCTAGAGTGGATCAAGGAAGTCCTCCATCGTTTGGGGGTCAGCAATTTGACAATGGATCTTGTGCCATGAGCGGGACCGAGACGTTCGAGACCACACCCGTTTCTGGTGGCCAGGCTACCTTTTCGGTCAAGGCAACCGAAGCACTTTTGTTGTATCTGCAGTGAATGCGGAGCTGGATCGACCAGTGTCCAGTATCCCGAATCAGGCATAATATCAGAGGTCAAAATAACAGAAATTGTGACTGGAAAGGTACTTGATTGGTGTTGTTGACTAGTCTGGTCGATGAGGGTGATGGATGAGGGAGCTTATCCAGCCATCGCGAACGCGATATGGAAAACTGTAAGAGAAGCGTGAGATATTCGAACAAGATAAAGTGTTCAGTACGGACCGACAAGATCAACAACCAAAGATGGCTTGTCGAAGAGTTCACTTGTGGTGTCGTGTGTTCATCGGCAACTTCGGAGGCTCCCTTGATAAAAGGTAGGCATCATCCCAGTTTTCTCGCCGATCGATTAGCGATTCCCGCGCTACCGGGGTGAGCGGGTCTTTTCCCGAAAAAATTTTGGCCGAATTTTCTGCATGGCTAGCATCAAGCTAGGGTAGTTCCCGCGATTGCACCACATGCCCTGTGTCGTCTTCACCGCTTGGTTGTAGTGTAGTGTAGTTGAGTTACGCTGGGTCAGACCACATCTAGGTGGCAGTTTTGGGATCGTGGTTGAGGCCAGAAACAGGGAAAACAACGACGAGCTGTAATGGAGCCAATGTACAGAAGATTATGTACGTGGCTGCTGAGGAAGAAACGGTCATCATGCAGAAACAGACTCAGCGTAACTCTGGGTACGTCTCCAGCAACTAATCAGCAATCCCCAAGTTTTGGACGGCTTTGTAAAAACGCATTGCATTCTTGTTTTTCGTGGACCATGCATTGATAAGCCCAGCCGTCACCGTATTATTATGATCGTCGAGATCCATAAAGCTTGGCCGAACGTGGCAGTCCGGTAGCATGGCAAGATAAGGCGGACTGGGGAACGCAGTCATGCATTCCTTCACATTCTGTCCTTCCCGTTGGGCATAAGAAGACGTAGCTGTCTTCTCTGAAGGCATTCCTTTGTTCATCTTTTGGCCATTATCCATCATCATGCGGTCTTTCTCGTGTTGGGTAGCTGCTGCCCTGCAGTTGGTTCACCACCTAGGCCCGGCTACCGCTGCGGCCGTCCACCACCATGGGAATCACACGGGGAGAATAGCCCCTAAGGCTTTCATCATCAGCATGGTGAGTGACGGAACGCAGAGCAGTGGCGGAATACGCTGGCTGGATGACGTGCTAATTTGAGCCCGTTCTAGTTTGAGCCCGAAACGGACGGCTGGATGACAAGCATGGTGGAATCGGGAACCGGAAACTTGACCGACATCAAGATCGACGTGCCCGGGCTTTCCATGCTGTACCCTCAGGTGGCATGCACGGCGGACAAGTCTGTATGCCAGTTGACGGCCGGAGAGAGCGAGATCAACGCGGCAGCGAGTATCATGGCGCTGGTGCTCTCTCACAAGTTCGACCTCCGTCAGACATACTTTGTGGTTGGCGGCATCGCAGGTGTCAACCCCAAGTACTCGACCCTTGGCGGTGTTGCGCTCTCTCGCTATGTCATCCAGGTCGCTCTGCAGTACGAGCTGGATGCGCGTGAGAAGCCGGAGAACTTCAGCACGGGATACTTTGCGTACGGCACCAAGGGACCGAACCAGTACCCTAGCACCATCTATGGCACTGAGGTGTTTGAAGTCAACGAAGCGCTACGGGACGTGGCGTATAAGTTTGCGCAAAAGGCGAAGTTGGCTGATTCGGCAGCCGGGGCCGAGTACCGGGCCAAGTACAAGGAGGCCGGGGCTGCGTACGTTGCCGCCACCGAAGGGCCGAGTGTTGTCAAATGCGACACGGCCACCAGCGATGTGTACTACTCGGGCACTCTGCTCAGCGAAGCCTTTGAGACGGTGACGCGGGTGTGGACTAACGGCACCGGCGATTACTGCATGTCGGCGCAGGAAGACAACGCCGTGCTCGAGGTGCTCGTCCGCGGAGCCATCCAGGGCCTTGTCGACTTTGGCCGTGTCATTGTGATGCGAACCGGATCCGACTTTGACAGGCCTCCGCCGAACGTGACATCCTACCAGCACCTGATGACGGACCAGAACGGCTTCGAGATTGCCACGACCAACCTGGGCAGGGCGGGCGTCGAGATTGTTCGCGGCATTCTGCAGGGCTGGGAACACACTTTCCGAAGGGGCATCAAGCCAACCAACTATATCGGCGATATCTTTGGCAGCTTGGGAGGACAGCCTAACTTTGGACCGGGAAGCCAGACCAATGGCACCGGCTATGCGGCCGCACCCAAACAGGCGAGGGCGCAACTGAGGGCAAGGGGATATCGTGGCCCTTCTGTTGTGCGACGTCGCATTTGAGGATCTGGTTCATTGTCGAGGTCGTGGTGCCACTGGACAAGACGGTCCTCAGGACACCTAGCCGAGCCAGATCATGACTTTATCCGCATCGGAACCAGATGGAGGAGGTGAAGGGATGGGAGGTAGATATTGCACCTGCAGAGCCAAGAGACGTTCAGGGCCATTTGCCGGCAGTGCAGTACGCAGCATACACATATATTATAGTGTATATATGTAGAGGAGAGTGGAGAGGCAATTGAATTGGTGACGACGACATGGTCGGAAGAGGAAAGTTGCTTTGGTCCGTGTCGTGTTGGTGTTGACTCTGTGTCTTGGGAGACAATAAATGTCACGGATTGAAGTCATCGAAGAGCAAGAAAGAACACAAAAATTGTTAAGGAAATTGTTAAGGCATAGTCAGTTCTCAAAGGCTTTGTCACAGAGGTGAAGGCGGCCCCGACTGCTCCCGCTTCTTTTTGCTGGACGCACTACCACCTTGGCCACTTAGGTAGCTAGGTTCTAACCGAAAACGCCACTTCCCGTTCCGTCACCGGGCCTTGTCTGGTGTAATGCAGCTGCTAAAGTTAGGTTATATTAGCTTCTATATTCGCTAAAAACCCAGTTGCAAACGGTCAAGCATCCCCAGCAGACCAACCTAGTGATTGAATAACCCCCCCCCCCCCCCGGCCGCTCTCGGAACTTCACTTCTTTGACTCCTCCACCGACCTGCATCTCCCATCAAGGTTCCCAATTTCCATCCTCGCCATTCACAGCTTCGAGCAAAGACGGGAGCTTTCGACCATTTCGAGACGGCAACAGCGACAAAGAACACAAAAGAAGACGAATACGAATAGACGCTCAACCGTCTGCGTCACCGACAAGAACACGGCGATTTAAACCCATCAAACAGAATGGGCGTCCACTCCATCTCCAGCTCCAAGTCCTGAGGACAGCATCACCACCCAAGCAGCAGTCGTCATGTCACTCATCCCATACCACCCCCGCGAAGGGCGAGAGATTGTGCTGTACGTCATGCCATCCCACTCCTCACTTACTTTCTTTCAACAATGACGCTGACATGTTTGGACCTCTGTCTCTCAACAGCCGCCATCGCAATGCCATCGTTGTCCGCGATCCCCTCACGCAGCGCCTCGAGATCCGCGGCCTCCAGCTTCACGAATGTCCCACCTGTCACCAGCCCCTGCGAACGTCTCCCGAGAGTCATGTCGACGATGATTCGGACCGTCGCGAGTCCTACGTCGACCCCGACTACTTCCGTATGTTGCGCGACGGCCACAACGGCCAGGCTCCGTCCAACCCACGCCCGCCCTCGAGCCCCATCCGCCGCTTGGTCCGTCCGGTCCCCGCCATAGACGATCGTGGAAACGAAGTCGGCGTACAAAATGCCGAATTCGTCAGCAGCGAGCCTGTGCCCTCCGAGACTACCCGTATCAAGAAGGAGGCTTTTGCTCCAAACTACTTCGAAACCTTTTTCCACGAGGAGCGTACCCTCGGCCGCGGTGGCAAGGGCGTCGTTATGCTTGTGCGCCACGAGATCGACGGTTGCAACCTGGGTCACTTTGCTTGCAAGCGCGTGCCCGTTGGCGATGACCACGCCTGGCTGGGCAAGGTGCTCGTCGAAGTCGAGTTGCTCGCCAAACTGTCGCATCCAAACCTGGTTTCGTACCGCTTCTCGTGGGTCGAGGATGTCAAGATCAACAAGTTCGGGCCCAAAGTCGCATGTGCCTTCATTCTCCAGCAGTACTGCAACGGCGGTGATCTGCAGCAGTATGTCATTGGCGACCTGCTCAAGGAGCCAACCATTGAACAGATCAAAGCCCAAAGACGCCGCCGATCCAAGGGTTTCATCGAACGGCCTAGCGTCACACAGCGCCAGTTGCCCTTCAAGGAGATCTTCTCGCTGTTCAAGGACATCACTTCGGGTCTTGCTTACCTCCACACCGCCAACTACATCCACCGGGATCTCAAACCCAGCAACTGCCTTTTACATCGCGAGGGTGGTCGTACTAGCTGTCTCATCAGTGATTTCGGCGAGGTTCAGCCCGAAAATGCCGTCCGCGTGTCAACCGGGTCGACTGGCACCATTTCTTACTGTGCTCCCGAGGTGCTGATCAAGGACGCAAGCGGCAAGTACGGTAACTTCACGACAAAGTCGGATATCTTCTCGCTTGGAATGATCCTCTACTTTATGTGTTTCGGGAGGTTGCCATATGCCAATGCTAATTCGCTCCACGAGGAGCTGGAGGATATCGATTTACTGCGTAGTGAAATCACGGACTGGAAGGGTTTCGAGGATGAACGACGCGAGCGCCCCGACCTTCCCGCAAAGTTATACCAGCTGCTTAAGCGGCTTCTTGCTATTAACCCAGCCGAGCGTCCGAGTGCAAATGAGGTTCTGAGTGCCATGAAGAACGAGTCAAGCTTAGACGGGTTGGGAGGGAATTCTACGGGTTCTGTCCCATCGATTGGCCTAGCCGGGCGGAGGATACAGGATCTAGATTCTCCCATGCCTTCCAGCACGCCTATGCCAGGTCAGTCACCCGCCGCGTCCTCCTCGGATGCGCCTTCGCTGACCGTTTCTGAGCAAGCAGACCACAGACATGCCAAAGTGTCTTCATCTCCAGACGAGGATCTTCCTTTGTCAGCTGATGGTTACCCGCCAGTTTCCGATACCCGCCAAAAGGGCGCATCCGATATGCTTGAACTT